GCGGGGGGAAAGGGATGACCATGGGGTTTCTTTTAGCGTTGCTGGCTTTTGAATAGGATCTGATAATAAAGGCTCACGAAGCGTTTCGTTGCAGGGTGAACCCGTTCTCTCACTCTCACGCTCCGTCTCTTTGTGTGTGTGTGTGTGCGCGCGTCGCGCGACTGCAAGGGGACGAGTAAATCCACTGCTCAAATTTACATGAATCCACATTCGATACAGAGCACTCGCGGCATCTAGAAGTTCTGCAAAACCTAAAAGAAACGAAACAAATAAAACTCCGCTTGATGAATGAATGCCCAGCCCAGGCTTCCTGCACCCAGCCGCCTTGTTTCCTCGTTGCCTCGTCGCCTCGGCAGTTGGCAGCATCGCCCTACGCGCCCTGCGGGTACGGCGGCTGCTGGTGCCCTCGGTTCATGCTGCTCAGCTCGACGTCGTGGAAGTGAAGGGGCGCGGGACGATCGCCGCGACGCAGGGCGCCAGCGCCAGCGGCAGCAGAGCCCCCCCGCGGACCGAGGACGTCCGCGTCGCCGGACTCTCCGAGGTCGGGGGGCTCCATGCGCGGCGGGTGGTCGTCGTCGAGGTTGTCGCCGGCGAAGCCGAGGCGGCCGACGCCGGCCCAGAAGGCGCGGTCGTCGCTGCGCGGACCCCAGGCCCAGCCGGCGCCGGCCATGATGGGCAGGTGGTAGTAGCGGAAGCTGAAGATGGCGGTGACGGTGCCGATGATGAAGCCGAAGAGGATGTCGAAGCCGTGGTGGCGGAAGTCGAACCAGCGCGAGGCGGAGATGAAGATGGCCAGGCACAGGGGCACGAGCGTGACGGCGAGCAGGTAGACGGGGGGCGCGGCGGCCTGGCGCCTGAGCGACTGGAGGCGCGTGTTGTACTGGGCGTTGCGGTTCAGGAGCCTCAGCTTGCCGCGCGAGGGCTCCAGCGAGACGGGGTGGTCGGCGGCGGCGGCGCGCGACGGAAAGGCGCCGTGCATCGAGTCGTCGAGCGGCGCGGCCGGGCACGGCACCGCAAACGGCAGCGTCACGGCCAGCTTGCTCGCCAGGAACAGCGACAGGTAGATGAGGCCGGCGGCGGCGGCGGCGGCGTGCCCGCTGGGGTAGCTGCGGAAGCCGTCGTCGAGCTTCTTGCGGTCCGTCTGCCTGCAAATGTCGCCCGAGTAGAGCCTCGTCGCGGACGGGGCGGCCTCGTCCCGGCCGAGCCCGCCGACGACGTAGCGCGCGGCGTTGGCCAGGTCGGGCGCGCACCGCGACAGCAGGTCCGGCCGCGGCTTGCCGCACATGTTCTTGATGCCGCTGATGAAGAAGAAGGCGGAGCCGACGGCCATGAGGAGCCCGAGCCAGCCGACGTGCAGCTCCCACACCTTGCGCTTCCAGACGAGGGCGAGGCTGGTGTTTTTGGGCACCGTGCTGCCCGGGATGAGGATGAAGGAGACGAGGAAGATGACGACGGCGGGGAGCAGCGCGCAGAGGACGACGAGGAGCCACGACGGGACGGTTTCCTTGTCTGCAAAGGGGAACCTGTACGCATACCACGTGTGTGTGCGTGTGTCTTGGTTAGCTTTTGCACGGGTTCATCTTGTGCGCCCACGTCACGCAAGCGCCGGCGGGTGGGAGGGTGAGCACGCACGAAATGTTGGGGTCGTCGAGAGAAAAGGGCCGCTTGTTGGGCTCAATACGCCCGAGGAAGCCGCCCACGACGGTGATGACCACCAGCACGATCCAGTCCAGGGCGTACGAGGCCAGCAGCTTCACGGAGAAGCTGCCGGCGGAAGAAGACCCTGAGTGGGCCATTCTTTGGTATTCAGACATTGGCCGTCACCCAAGGGTTTGTTGTTTGCGGGCGGCGGTGGTGGTGGTGGGCGCGGACGGGTTTCGATAAACGCAGAGAGTGTGTGGAACGGGTTGATGATGCCTTGGGGCATTAAAGAGGGAAAAGGGGGCGAAACAGGGTCTGATGTCGTCAACATGTGTCGTTGGTCGTTTGCTCGGAGGTTGCGAGGTTGCGAGGTTGGAGGCGGAGGCTGGCGGCGAGTGGCTATGCTGCGCAAGTAGCAGGACGGCTGGTCAAGACCAGTTCCAGCCCGAACTTTGGGTCTAGAGCTTAGTTTTTAGTTCAAAAGCCAATCGTGCGGTAGTATAGATGCTTTGGCGCCGACCGGAGGATTGCGAGGCGCAGTCTGTGTTGTAACTCGTGGACGGGGGTTGCTGGCGTCACGACTCACGACTCACCACACGGTCCTCGACTCGTCGGGGCCGAAAGCTCTGCGGTATGTAGAAAGGAGCCGAGTTGGCAAATGCCCAATGGTCAAGGGCGCCAAAGGTCACGGGAGCTTGCGAAAGAGGCAGAGACCAGATAGAGCCTGCTATACACGTACCCAGGTGGTGGTTTTTTTGTCTTGACTTGTCTTGTCCTCCTTGGTTTTTACTTGTTCCTTTTCTCTTTTCTTTCCGGTACGCATCAGTCGGGACCCTTTCACAATAAGTATCAGACCCCAGACTCCATCCAGAACTTTCAGACCCCAGACCGGTCGGCAAATAAGATCCCGAATCGAAATCACACTGCCGCCCAACCGTTGCTGCTTCGGGTGCCGCGCCACGGTGGAGAAGCAAGTTTGTAGGATTTCAGGGGGGGGATTCAATCCAGTCCGACTGCTCCATCCAAGACACACAGCACACACGTCCCATCCACGCCGCACGGAGTAGTCGTCGTATGCATGGACTTGCGTACTCGTAGCCTCGTACGGAGTAGGCATGTATTCCATCTCATCTGCATACAACAGGGGTCAGTTCGGAGCCTCTGATTCGAAAGAACCGCCATCCCTGCCGTGGCATTGACACCGCTGGAAACAGGCATGTATTATGGCGCGTCGTGCGGCTGATGCCAAGCCAACATTTGGAGTTGTCCGCCAGGTCAGGGGCAATCCTGGTTCGTAATACGACAGCCGCAGCCTCGGCATCATGACGTGAGCTCAACCCCCCTGATTGAAGAATGCCTTCCCTGTTGAAAGATGAAACCAGGCGTACTGCGGGGAAGGGGGGGCCGTAAAAATAGAAGTGAGAATTAGCGTCGAGCACCTCACCTCGTTTTCGTGGCGACAAAATCAGCCTCGTGGGTTTGGTCGGACGATGAAGCGTCACGACTCCGAACGAGTTGTCCAGTGCCCATGCCGCGTGCCAAGTGCCGAGTGCCGAGCGCCGAGCGCCGAGTGCCGAGTGCGGGCTTGGCCGTGAATCCGTCATGAGCTTGGTTGCTTCTGCTCGCTTCGTCCGGGGGCGGCGGCGAGAGAGACCCGTTGCGCAATCTGCCTGTGCGGTGAGGTCTGGCGGAGTGTGCAGTCTTGACTTCTTGATGAGTGGTGCAAACATTGCCGGTGCAGTGTGCAGATAACAGGCTTCAACTCCGAGTCCCGAAGACGCCAGTTACCAGAGATACCCAGGCACTTGAGTACTTTGGTATATAGTGCTCAAGTACTCATGCAGATGACTTGGTACGCACGAGCTCTATTCCCGTCCGAAATGTGCGTGCTGCAATGACCGGCCGGGAAGCCGTATCTTGGTGGATAATGCCACCGTGGATCAAGGTCAATAGACTACATCACCGGACGGGTTTGCAATTCGGCACTATCACATATGCTCCTGATCAAGGGGGACGTCATGACGGATCCAATCACAACCATGACACTTCGTCTCGCTTGGCTTGTCTATATCATCTACGTAGTACAGTCAGTTACAATGACCCCCATCCTGGTATACACAGCTCTTCCGTATGCTCTCTGTCCCTTTTCCCCTTTTACAACATGGTGCTTTTTGTGCTTGTCCACTCCCGAGACCTGACCGCCCGCCTCGACCCTCCTCTCTCATCCGCTTATTCCTTTGATGATCGCTTGTCTCGTCGCTTGCCGTGGTTGCGAGGCCGGGCCGTCACAACCCATTTGTTAACGTTGTGCGTGCGCCGCGTCTTGTAACCGCTCTTAGTCTGTTGCATGATTAGTTAGTCCATAAACACGACACTGCCGAGGAGACTGGCAACATGACTTGATGCCGATACGTACAGGTCTACCCCATGGTGTTACTGGGTTTCGGTCACTCTTGGACTTTCCACGACCACCGCCGTGAGGATGGTCAACTGTTGCGTCGTCAGCTTGTACTAATGTCTCAGCAATCGATACGGCAACTCACCCTTGTTCATGGCCACACCACGGACCGTCGGTCGAATGTTCAGCCATCGGCTTCGTCCAGCCTTTCCGAGCTGTCGGTAGTGGTGGTGGACGTTGCTGGCAACGCCAACTGTTGCGCAGGCGTTCTTGCTGACCCGACGAACCTCACCACTCTGGAGACGCACCTCAACATACTTGCCTGTCATGATCTTGGTGCCGTCGTCCCGCGTCTCCTCATTCTTGTTCACCACCGTGGCCGAGGTTCCGGCACTGCGGCAAAAAACGGCACCGCGCTTCGCAGCAGAGCCCACGGCAAAGACCTGCGTGCCAACGGGAATCATGTGCATGGGCAGGCAGTTGCCACGAAACGCTGTTCGCGCAGCCAGGATACCGGGATCAATGACGCCGCCCATGCTGTCCAGCAGGTCCTGCGGGATGCCTGAGCGGTAGCTGTGGACAATGTCACCGGCCCGAAGGCCCTCTGAAGCCAGAATGTACGACTTTCGTCCCGTCGCCTTCTCTGTGACCAATGCAATGTGTGCACTTCGTCCGGGATCATACTCGATTCGGTCTACCAGATGCGGACCTGGCCTCCACCGCTCAAAGTCAAGTGTGCGGATTCTCCGCTTGGCACCACCTCCTCGGTGTCTCACGGTGATGCGCCCATGCACGTTTCGCCCGCCCTTGCCTTGGCCCTTTTTGGGGTACGTTAACGGGAGAAAGGGCCGGCCTTTCCACAGGTGGTCGTTGACGGGACGTCTTAGATGTCGAACGCCGGGTGTCCTGGGTTTATACGTTCGTAGCGTAACGGACTGTGAGCCTCGAGTTTCTGTGGCACTCGTGAGAGATGCGCGAGATTTGCCGCCATCGTTGGAGCCGTCTGACGACTTGGACGTCGCATACGCACGTGTGGCGTATTGACTTGATGTCAGGCGCTGCAAGGCTTTGGTGGCCGCGGAGAGCGGAAATCGTTGGCGGATCATTCTGGATCAAGAGAGACGAAAGAGATGTGTTTGAGCTTCGGTGTATGGGGTTCGACTGAGATGAGAGAAGAAGCGAGATGGACTGTTGGTCAACAGTCGAATCCGGAAAAAAAAAAAAAAAGACAAACAAGAAGAAGAAGGTTCTTAAATGGCCAAGACAAGCCTAACGAGGGACCGCAGTTGCAGGCATTGGTCGAGAAGCAACAGTCCACGTAGTCCCGCGCCAATGGCTGAGCTGCAACAAAGGCTTGGGGTCGTGCCTCGACGCCGTGAAAGTTGGAAACGGGCGTCGTGGAAAGGGCCAGCGCCTCGGTCAACTGAGGTGTCGTCGATTTGGTGTCGCCGTTACTTTAAGTCGGTGATTCTCGTCGTCCCACATTGAAATTTCCATCGGGAGACTGGAGAACGTTTTGCCGAAGTGGACATGGAGGTGGGTGAGCCACGGCCTAGCACCAGCCACATTCATCGCGCGGAGCACCAGCCGCGGCATGCCGCGTCGTGAAGGGCGCGCGCGACCAGCCACATGCGTGTGCAGCGGCGCGAGATGAACGGCGGCCACGCTTCCAATCAACGGGCCGTTGCCCCGCGGTTGCTACTGTTGACACAAGGATGGTAGCTACAGCCGAGCAGGAGCTGCTCGAGAGGGCTAGCGCAGGTACGTACCCAGCCAACCAGGCTCTCTCCGTGCGCGCAAAGGCTCCAGTCGGCGCGTTGTGAGTCGCCAGCTGCGGCTTGCACCTCCACAAGCTAGTGCAAATCGTTGGCATGGATGGACGGCCATATTCCAAAGTACTCAAGTGGTGTGTGTGTATATTGCTGTGCGGTGTACGGAGTACGGAGTAGTTAGTCGTCGGTTCCTCAGTAACTAATACGAGTGTAAAAGTGTATGTTTCTCGCTGTTTAGTCACAGGCGCCCTGTTGTTTGTTGTTTTTGTGCTGCTGTCTGCTGTTGTTGTCACGACATTGGGCAAATGTATCTTGAGGACGCAGCATCTTCTTGCCTCGTCCAGAGAAACCATTGCCGCCCTTGCGTGATCCGCCGGGCTGGCTTGAACAATTTCTCACATCAAAAACCCCCCCGTTCATATGAATACTAGTCCACAGCCCATCCCTTGAAAGTGCACAAACGACTCCGTCGCCATCGCCCGCGGCAACGGTGGGACAAACACGGACTGGGCTTGGGTCAGCTCGGCGACTCTCCAACACGATACAAGAGCTCGCTGCCGACTGCGTGCCAGAATCACGCTTTGTACTCTTTCATAGCAGCAGTAATCCATACATCGCCCCAGCTCCCTCTCTCTCTCACTCTTCCCTTTATTTTAATTTTTTTTTCCTCCTGGGGTACGGAGTGCACACACGGAGCACCCTTGGCAACCAACGTCGCGAGCCGCGCCGCATCTGGTCGGGAGGTACGTACCTCGACGGGCATCCGCGACAGGCCCACCTCACGTCTCTGCCTCCCCTGCTGCTCCGCTCCTCAAAACACTTCTCGTCTGCCCTCACAACTTGTCTTCCTCGACACAAACACCTCTACTGCTGTCCGGTCCTTCCCGTCTTCTCGGCCCTCTCTATCTTTTCTACTCCTTCAGCGCGCCGTTATCCATTCCCGGGTGCTTCCCCTAATACGCTGTACAGTTTTGGGCTGCATATTTCCCGCCAGAGCATTACAATCGCGCCTTGTGTCGGACTATATTTGTCTTGGAACCAGAGGTAGGTAGGGCAGCGAATCTCTCTCCTAGTGTCTCAGCTGGAAGCTACTTTTCTCGCACGTTCCCCGACTTTTTTCGTCTCCTTCTCCTTCTCCTCTCGACGCGTTGACGGCTGACCGTTTTGTTCTTGCTCTGGTTTGCTCTGCAGCTCGGCCTCTGGCTCTCATGTATAGCATCTAGTATATACACTAGACTGTAATATGCCTCCCGGTGTAAGTCCAGCCCACACATGGTTTCCGCCCGAACAATTGTAGGCAATCTTGCCGAGATGGGCTAGGAACTTGCTGACACCAAGGCCTTTGTGGCTGCACAGACACGTACTGGCCGTCAACGTCTCGTGTCAGGCGAGAACGACGAGAACAGCTCGACGCGTCTTACGCGAGCCAAGGCCGCCGCTCTCAACGTGGACGAGCTCGCCATGCCGACAAAGAGTGCTTTGCAGCCGAAAAAGTCGACGGCCAATCTTGGCCACGCTGGTGTCCAACGGAAACGTGCTGCACTCGGCGATGTCAGCAACGTCAATAAGTCGGAGGCTGCTGAAGGCAGGAAGGCGGGTGGTAAGCCTGGGCTCGTCTCCAAGGCTTCCCATCCCACTGGTATTCAGAAGAGCACGACTCGCACCGCCACCGCCCGCAGCACCGTCGGCGTCAAGGAATTGGGCAAGCCCGAACCCAGACGCGGTGGCTCAGGAGCCATAGGTGCTGGACCGAAGCGCAAGGTCGCGTCCATCGGCAACAAAGACCAAGAAGACAGTGTTACCGGAGAGCCCCAGCCTCTCAGGAAAAAGGCGCACACTCACAAATCGGCGGACCTAGTCCGTGATGAGAACCACGCACCCGCCGCCCAGATAAAACACCAAATCGTGGATGAGGAAGACAAGGTGGCTCCGCCCGCGGGCATCAGGGTGATTGAGGAGGATGACTGGGATGACCCTCTCATGGTTGCTGAATATGCCACGGAGATTTTTGAATATCTGCGCGATCTTGAATGCCGCTCTATCCCCAACCCCGACTACATGTCCCACCAAGACGATCTTGAATGGAAGACGCGTGGTATCCTCATTGACTGGCTCATTGAAGTCCATACGAGATTCCACTTGCTACCAGAAACTCTTTTCCTTGCCGTCAATATTATTGATCGCTTCCTCTCGGCCAAGGTTGTTCAGCTTGACCGCCTTCAGCTTGTTGGCATCACCGCCATGTTCATCGCGTCCAAGTACGAGGAGGTTTTGTCACCTCATGTCGAAAATTTCAAGCGCATTACCGACAACGGTTTTAGTGAAGCCGAGATTTTGTCCGCAGAGCGATTCCTGCTCAGCACTCTCAACTATGACCTGAGCTACCCCAATCCCATGAACTTCCTTCGCCGCGTGTCGAAGGCGGACAACTATGACATCCAGTCTCGCACAATTGGGAAGTATCTCATAGAGATTAGCCTCCTCGACCATCGCTTCATGTCATTCCGGCCGAGTCACTGTGCCGCCGCTGCCATGTACCTGGCTCGCATGATGCTGGACCGCGGTCCCTGGGTAAGCCTACACGCCGCGTTCTCTAGGAGGAAGGTGCGTGGCCATGTCGCTAACTGGAGTACTACAGGATGAGATACTTGCTTACTACGCTGGGTACGACAAGCACGAGGTGCAGCCTCTGGTTGACCTGATGGTTGACTACCTTGCCCGTCCCGTAGTTCACGAGGCATTCTTCAAGAAGTATGCCAGCAAAAAGTTCCTCAAGGGTGAGCCGACATCTACGAAGAGGTTTTAGCGGGAAAAGGAAGCAGATTGCTAACTTTGGACCGGCAGCTTCCATCCTCGCTCGCCAATGGGCCAGGAAGAACGCGCCTCTGTTCGGCATCACAAACACTGAGCTGTCTCTGGACCAGATTTCATCATCATGAGGGTGACGACGCTTTGATTGCAAGCAAACATTGATTCATACGCCCCTGCCAATACACATCTCTTAAATATGAGCCTACAAAGTCAGGATACAGCTGTCGAGGTTGGATTACGCTCACGACATCACCTCTTTTGACGACTTTAATATACACACGACCATGTGCAAGGCCGGTCATGGGCCATTGGCTTGTGGGTTGGTCACGCAGGTTGATGGCTAACGGTAAATGCCTTCCTGCAACGACACTATTGGATTGCACGCGCTCGCCGCGGGCTCTTTTTTTGTTTTTAGAAAGTATTTCAGCATGCAGCTTTGTCAACTCGATTGTTCTCACACATGGCGTTTGGAGTTGTTGGCGAATTGGCAAGGATTAATTGGACTGGACGGTGACGGCCGGCTGTGCAGCGGCAGCTGACCCCGTCTGCGCAGCTTTGGTGTGTGGTGCACGGGATGAAGGCGTACTTTGAACCGAGACTCGGACTTGACAAGAAGCTGTGCTTCGGGTCGAAACCGTGAGCATGGCGGTTTGTTGGAGTTGGAAGTGTATTGGTCCAGAGACACGCATCACGGTGTCTCTTCACGACGGCAACGAAGCCTTGCACAGGACAGGGCAGTGATGGCAGAAGTGTACATAAAACTTGGTGGGATCACAGACAGGATTGGGGTCGGGAACGAGAATTGCATTGCATGAAAAGGCTGGCGTGTGTGTGTGAATAATACGTATCCGTGAGGCTCTGGGTACGTACCTCGGCGCCAGGTACCGGGCTGGCGTCGGTGCGTCCTAGTACGGATCAACGTTAACACAGGCCGCGACGGCTACCTAAACTTGGAGCGGCTGGTACCCCGCCAATCACTTCACTCCGCTCGGCTTGCAGGGTCTCGAATCTCGCGACGACATTTCTGGCTCTCGCTCCACGATAGCGCCTTTTTTTCTTTGGACCTCTCTTTCATCTTCTTCCTTCAAGCAAGTAGCTTGAATGTCCACGAGCGAGTGAAGCGTCTCGAGGAGCCAACCACCACCCGCGGGCTTTCAATCCATCGTGACATGGCGTGACGTGTTGTGCGCCGCCTGATTCATCGTCGACCGCCTCTTACCGTCTTTTGAGCGGCGGCCATGGCGCCGGTCCTACGGGCCAGACAGAGCCTGCCCAAGGACAAGTTCTCGTCGTACTTTGGCAGCTTGCGCAGTCAGCCTTACAACGATCCCAATTCGGCGAGGGGTGGCTCGCACACGTATGTTTCCGCTGTTGCTGCCATGCCGCCCGTCTTGTTCCCGGGGAGGGATGTCCTTTGCTCACGGCTTTCCGTCTAGATTGAGGGCGATTGCGTGGAATCCGCTGGGGACGTTGGTGGCGACGGGGTCTTTTGACAAGACTTTGCGAGTTTGTATGTCTCTCTCTCTCTCTCTCTTTTTTTTTTTTTTTTTTTTTTTTTTTTTTTTTTTTTTTTTTTTTTTTTTTTTTTTTTTTTTTTTTTTTTTTTTTTTTTTTTTTTTTTTTTTTTTTTTTTTTTTTTTTTTTTTTTTTTTTTTTTTTTTTTTTTTTTTTTTTTTTTTTTTTTTTTTTTTTTTTTTTTTTTTTTTTTTTTTTTTTTTTTTTTTTTTTTTTTTTTTTTTTTTTTTTTTTTTTTTTTTTTTTTTTTTTTTTTTTTTTTTTTTTTTTTTTTTTTTTTTTTTTTTTTTTTTTTTTTTTTTTTTTTTTTTTTTTTTTTTTTTTTTTTTTTTTTTTTTTTTTTTTTTTTTTTTTTTTTTTTTTTTTTTTTTTTTTTTTTTTTTTTTTTTTTTTTTTTTTTTTTTTTTTTTTTTTTTTTTTTTTTTTTTTTTTTTTTTTTTTTTTTTTTTTTTTTTTTTTTTTTTTTTTTTTTTTTTTTTTTTTTTTTTTTTTTTTTTTTTTTTTTTTTTTTTTTTTTTTTTTTTTTTTTTTGGTTCATCTCTTTTTGTTGACGCTTTGTGCGGCCAGGGAACCCTGAGAAATCGCACGTCAGGTTCTCGACGGAGCTCAAGGGCCACGGGGCGTCCGTGGAGAAGGTGGCCTTCAACCCGACCAAGGATGCGGAGCTGTGTAGCGTGAGCGCGGACGGCGTCGTCAAGTTCTGGGACGTCAGGACCAAGGCGTGCTTCAACGAGGTCAGGGGGCTGGGGGACGCGTTGAGTCTGGTCTGGGCGCCGGACGGGGAGACGTTGATCGTGGGCAACAAGGTACTTTTCCTCCTCTTGTCGTGAGCGTGAGCGTGACGACGTTGGTTGGCGTGTGAGCTCGGGCTTGGGCTTGGGATTTGCATGAATTCTGGCGTCTTTAATTCTGGCGTCTTTCTTTTTTTTTTATTTGCCTGCCCTCCCCTCCCCTCCCCCCCCCCCCGGAGGTGGTGAGAAACGCAGGCTGACAACATCTACGTCCTGTCTCCGCGGGAGGCGATGCCGCTTTCGTCCCACCAGCAGAGCATGCAGACTAACCAGGTGGCATTCTGCTTTAGCGGCACCAAGATCTTCCTGACCACCTCTGAGGGCCGGATTCGCATCTTGTCGTATCCTGATTTTCGGCCGCTGTTGACGCAGCCCCAGGGGGGTCAGGACCACGAGTTCATGCTCAGCGGGCATACCTCGTCGTGCTTGACGGTTGAGATGCAGCCCACTGCTCGTTATCTGGCCACGGGCGGTTCGGATTCCATCATAGCCTTGTGGGATACGAGCGATTGGGTGTGCCAGAGGACGTTGACGAGGATGACTGGTCCGGTGAGGAGTATCAGTATGTTTTTTTTTTTTTTCAGGAGTCCCAGTACCGACTTGATTGGTCCTGCATTCGCTACACGCAGCTAACGATATCTAGGCTTCACGTTTGATGGGAGTTATATAGTCGGCGGTAGCGACGAAGGTGCGGTCTCTTTTCTTCTCCTTGTCCTTCAGTCGCCTACGATTCTCGACGCGGCACTAACCGTGCGAAATAGGAAACGGCTTGGAGGTATCGCACGTAGAGACAGGCGAACATGTCCACACATTCAAGACGGCAGGCTCGTCGCCTGTCGTCGCATGGGCTCCAACCCGCTATTGCCTGGCGTACAGCGACCTGGGTATCCTGCGGATTGTCGGTGTGGACGTTGACAGGAAGTAAAGGCCCTCGTTTGGTCCAAGCCCGGAGAGCGATGATGTGGATCGGGCAGGCACTCGGGGATCCAGTATGCCGTCAAGATGTCGAACCGCACAACGCATATCCAAGGCTGAATGACGGCAAACGCAGCCGACTCCCATGCATTACCTAGCTAGTTGTAGTCATCCGTACTTCCAGCCAGCGGTCCTGGAATCGCATAAATAGATGGCACTTTACGAAAAGAGAAAAATGTGCCTCACGCCCGACGGTGTCAGCGTGATTGCGGCTGACCATCAGCTTCGAATCCCTGCGTAAGCCGGGCAAACTCCCGCCGTGCCAGTCTGTTTCGTCAACCGCGAGCAATACGAAACCCACGTGTGGCCGTCCCCCGCTCCCTTTTTTTTTCTCTTCTTCTTTTTCCGGGTTCAAGAATTCGTTTCGGAAAACCACATATTCCGCGGGGCGGAATGTGCCTTTCCTCTCATGACATTCAAATCGCTCAAGCTGGGATCGTAGATGGGCGTACTTGACAGCGGATGCATGGCATCGTAAATTCAAGACGGTGGCATCGTGCTAGTTTGAACTTGCTGCCCGCATAGGGGAGCATTGATTGCAGCTCTGGTAGAGTGGTTCCGTTTCAAAAGCATTCGTTTGTTTGCCTGGCGCCATGTTCATGTTTACGTACGAGTAGCTTGCTTTCAGTTTGGCCACCAGCCGACTTATATTTGGGCCCTCTGTGCTCTTGTTCTTTGTGGTGAAGGATTTGGGGTCTGGTTTCTCCTGCGACCCCTGCTTTGATCATGTCTTTTTGTGTTTGCGACAACGCAGTGTCGCTCATGCGGCCGACCATCATAGGATCAACAGTAGCATGGTGCCTCTGAAGATGGTAACGGATTGGCGCCATGTTCGCAAGAGTGCTGTGGCGGGTGAGACAAGGAAGGCTCGTGTGAGGGTAAAAGCCGTTCCATTACTCCGTGTCGGGTCCTTTCCGTCGTGCTACAAGGCGCATTCAGGGCCTGATCCGCGCATCTCGGAGTCGCGGCCATGGGGCGGGAGAGCGAGCAATCGAAAGCCTGTCCGGTCGACAAAGCAATCTAGAATGCGTATACCGTGACGCACGCATAGATGCTGCCGACGGGATTGGAGCATCCACGTTTCATTGTACCGGAACATCCCGCCGCGTTGGAGAGACGCTCCATCCATTCTCCCCAGGCTTCTCTGCGCAACAGTCATCTTTTGCCAGCGACAAAGTGAAACGGGAGAACCAGGTGCGCCGTGCCCCGAGTGTCTCCAACGCGGTTGACCTGCTTGCCTCTGTCGCCGAGGCCCATCATCACCACTCAAATGCCGGCCCCTTGGTGGATGCCATTCCCGGCGCCCCATGCCGGAGTCTCCGGCCAGGTCCAAAACACTCCTGTCGTGGCGAGGCGGTTGGGATGGGTAGAGCAACAAAGGCTACAAAGTAAGCACCAAGCAGCCACGCAGGCACCAGTGACCACCGGTCACCCACCCGAACCCATCGCCTGACGAGGGTTTCCCACATGGTTGAAGATGGGGGCGAGCGTGCCAAGCCCTCAACATGCCCGAACACCAAATGTTCGATGGAGCTCTTCATTCGATGAGAACCTCGACAACACGCAACCCTTCGACCCGGAATCTCCTTGGCCGTAACCAGCTGCTTTCAGCACCAGCCCACCAGGCTTCGCATAACTAGGTTCCGTTGCCGGATACGGACGAACTGTCCCACCGCCTTTGACATGTGAACGGCAGGCCACACGCTCAGCTGTTGATTGGTCACCATTCTGTCCTGGTAGGGGTTGGGGCTGGGCTAGTTAGTTACTGCATGTCCGCAAAACGGTTGCACGTTGTGTCTGAAATGTATGGCCGAGCCCCCGAATCACTGACCCGACTGCGCAAGGGCGGCCCAAAACGATGGACAAGACCGTCTGGTTTGTTGCTCCGTACATAACTAACAGCAGTCCAGGTTGCTGCATGTTGGATGGGGTCGAGCGACGGCGCCAAAGCCTGCCGCCTCAGCCCATGGCATTGGAACCCCGGGACCTGGACGACCCCACGAGCGGTTGGTTGGCCCCAGGGCCGTTGCCCATCGCCAGGCAGCCGCGGCCGACTCAACCGTGGACTTTCGGCGGTGGAAATGAAGTCCTAGTGATGATACGCCAGGCTGCAGGCGAACTCCGCTTTTAGCTGCCCAGGTGCGCATTGGCAGTTTGGCCTCCGGTTCGTGTTGCTGTACCATTACGGACTTGACTTCTCTGGGTTGGGGCGTCAGCGTCTCGGTATCCAGCCAAGGAAGGATCCCCAACGTTCGGCTGACTCTTGACTCTTTTCATCACCGTCGTGAAGCGCATCTCTCGGCTCCGCCATTGTCGGCGCTTCTTCCAGCAGACAAGCCGTCGATACATCTTCATCGTTTGCGCCCGTGCCGCATCCCCACTGTCCCGCGAGTTCCGGCCGTCCGTTCTTCAACACTCTGTCCGGCCTGCAGAGGCGACGCAACCCCCCAAACTGCAAAGAGGCGCGCTGCGCCCGCCATTTACCGGCCCGAGCGACCGACGACCCTTTTTCCCACGGTGCCGCCAACGACCATGGCTGGCTCACTAGACGACAGTTGCTTGTCCAGCAACGTCAATGATGGTCACCACGACCAAAGTCCCGACACTGACAACACTGTTCACATGCGAGAAGCGATTCCCGACAACTCCAATGTTCCAAAGCCGAAGCGGTTGGCTTGTATGATTTGCCGAAAGCGCAAGCTCAAGTGTGATGGAGTTCGTCCAAGCTGCAGCACATGCGCGCGACTGGGTCACTCCTGCGCCTACGATGAACAGCGGCGAAAGAGCGGTCCCAAGAGAGGATACGTGAAGGCGCTGGAGGAGAGACTGAGTGAGTGCTTACCTGATTTGCTCGTGCAAATGGCAATGCGAGGGGGCAAAGCTAATCGCCGTCTGCGTACCTAGAACAAGTCGAGACCCTGTTGAAGACGCAAGATCCAGTGCCCGCCGCCATCCATAGCCCAAATGCCAAAGGCATGAACATGCCCATGCCTGGAGCTCACAATCCGCAGACGGCGACACCAAATCTCGGCGTCGCCAGCGCTTCCTTGGGCATGGGCGGTGACCACGACATGGACAACAACAGATGGCAGCGTTTCAGTGGCGAGTCTCCGCAGGCTGGGGCCAACATGGAAGACTTCAACTTCAACTCCAACATGGGCATGCCAATCAACACCGTTGGGGGAGGCAACTTCACCTGGGAAATGATTGGCCTTGGACTCGAAGAGCCGCTGCCGCCACAAGAGACCATTGATGAACTCCATCAAGTTTACTTTGAGAAGGTTCACCCGTCCATGCCCATGATCCACCGGTACCGTTATCTCGCCGCCATGAATCTGTATGTGTTACCAGCAAAAATGTTGCATCTGCGTCGCGCCGTGAATACAACTAACCGAACCGCTTGCGAGTAGGGCGCCAAATCAACGGCCGTCAGTGTGCTTGCGATATGCCATGTGGACTTTGGCATGCTCCATTACTGACAAGTATACCGATCTGAAGGATCTGTTTTATCAAAGAGCACGCAAGTATGTAGAGGCAGATTATGTAAAAGGATATGGCGAGCACATGATTTCTGTGGCACATTGTCAGACGCATATCCTATTGGCCGCCTATGAGATGAAAATGATGTACTTCCCTCGTGCTTGGATCAACACCGGCTCGGCGATTCGTCTTGCCCAAATGTAAGAATGCCAATTCGCGCGCTCCCGACATGGGTTGAAGTCGGCTAACATTCTCTTCAGGATCGGCCTACACCGGTTAGACGGTGCTGGGCTGGACGTTAAGCAATGCCTGCCCCCGCCCAAGGACTGGACAGAACGCGAGGAGCGACGGCGAACGTTTTGGATGGCTTTCTGTGAAGACCGATATGCAAGCATTGGTACGGGTTGGCCAATGACGGTTGACGAAAGGGACATCATGACCAGGATGCCAGCGTCTGACGAGGCCTTTGACATGAGCCGACCCGAGCAGACGCTAACCTTGCAAGAATCCACTGGGCCGCCCGGAGTCGGTAAGATTTCGTCGTTTGGCGGCGTTGTACTGCTGGCATCTCTGTTCGGACGCAATCTTGTACATCTTCATCGCCCGGACGATGATGATCTTGACCATGACCTCAACGGCCCCTTCTGGAAACGTCATAGACAGATGGACAATATTCTCCTAAACACATCACTAGGTCTCCCGGCATATCTGAAACTCCCCAATGGACTGTCAAGCCCCAATGTCATATTCACCAATATGAGTATCCATACGTCAACCATTTGCCTGCATCAGGCGGCCATCTTCAAAGCTGATAAGAACAAGCTTGTGGCGTCGGTCAGCTCAGAAAGTAAAGTGCGTTGCATCACGGCCGCAAACGAAATTGCTAGCATCATGAGAACGATTTCTCACATGGACCTGTCATCGGTAAGTGCCTGCTGGAACAGCAAATGTCATGAGGTACCGACTCGCCTGACACAATCATACTGCAGATGAATCCGTTTATTTCTTTCTGTCTCTATGTAGCAGCTCGAGTTTTCGTTCAGTATCTGAAAAGCCGCCCAGATGATTCGCAAACGGCAGATTCATTGCGATTTCTCCTGTCAGCAATGAACGCTCTGAAGCGGCGGAATCCACTGACAGAGTCCTTCTTGGTACAACTCGACGTAGACTTTGAAGCACTTGCTGTGCGCATTCCAAATCTGAGAAACGCCTTCCGCGGCGGAGACAGTGTAAGCGCACGACATATGATCAATGGTCCCTGATACTAAGTCAGGACGAAGCTAACAACTCAACCAGCCTCATTTTGGAAGCAGCGTCGAGCATGCTGGCCCGCTTTGCTCCGACCCTGAAAGTGTTCAAGGAATCTTGGCTTACCGAGAGTGTCATTACATGAAATCACAGGGCGACGACGGGAACCCGGCTGCAGCGCCTGACCTTGTCGACGGTCAAGGCGACAACAAGGCTGGACAAATCTCGGGTGCCAACGCTGGATTTGGCGGGGGCCAGACGTGGCTCGCAACAGACCAGACCTCGGTGCCCGTCTTGACGCCGAATTCTGGGACTGGGACCATGTATGAGAAGAACGGCTCGGTCAGCGGTCACGTTACGGGCTACGAAGCAAATGGTGATGTTCATGATAGAGGAGGGTCGCCCGAAGGAGGACAGTCGAACGGGCCAACACCAAACTCAAGCGGCGCAGGGTCGGACGTCAAGACGCATCTTGCGCCGGGAAACTTGGGTGGCTCGGCACGAGAAAACGGCTTCCACCCAAGTCCCATGGCGTCTCAGCAAAACTTGATGAACCACGGCGCACCAACAGATGCCGGCAATCACCAAGGCTTCTTTGGCGAGTCGTTGTTTGCCATGGACCACGACGTGGCTGGTCCGCAAACCGGTTTTGCCGTGCCTCAGACCTGGGGGGCCGAGATGAATGGCCAAGCAGCACCTCCCAACATGACGCCTGTTGGCGAGGGGGTTCTCCGAGCACTCATGAACATGGGACCAATGGATGCCATGGACCTTTCGTCGTGGGACTCGGGGCAAGACAGCGCCATGCGAGGCTGACTCGGAAACGCTTGGAGTGGCAAGGGGAAGGAAAACAAGAAAAAAAAAAGGAAAAATAATGCGTATCAGAATCGGTGGTGATTTTCGGCTTTTAGCGAGGTGGCCAAGATAATTTCGGGAGCAGAGGCGTAATGGGCAGCTACGGCTGGCGGGCTGGCAGGAAGCCCGAAGCTCGCGCCTTCCTTGTTGGTTTGGATACGCGGCGCTCGGATTTGTGCTCCTCACTGTGCTCTCTCTATCTATTTGTCTTCGCTTCGGGCTAACGACTTGTATTATATGGGTGGCAAGTTATGCACATGTAGCTTGATATCTCCACCAAAAATTTGACGAAGGAACCTCATGAAAAACTGGCCCCGAATGCCCGTGTCAATCATGTCTCGACAACCTTGCGCCCTGAAGAATTACAGGGCACATACTAACTACGTAGTAGACTGTACATCAATCGCCAACTTTTGGGCGCCTGCTCCGTAGGTACCCAAGTTGTGCCGAGCCTGTGCAGGGCCAGGCGTTCCCCACCTGCGCCACTGCAGAATCCAGTGGCCCGTGCACACACTGCCGCTCTTCTCCACGCCGCAAAAATAGGAACGTTACTCCGTGCTGCCTCACCTGCATCCTTGGCCAGCCGTAAAAGCAGCGCCAGACGGGCAAAAGACGCCCCAAGAAAGCACCGCCAGGCGATGCTACCACCGTCACGCCCCGCCGACAAACGTCCTCGTCGCTCGCATTCGCACGTCCAAGGCTGTCGGGCGCGCTCTACCCAGCATGGCGGCTCCCGGCTCATTGCCCGGGTCGGGAGCGGGGCGGCCGGGCGCGGGGCAGTTCCGCCTCGACATCGGCGTCGGCATCGAGGGCTATCCCGGCCTGAACGACGCCTGCCGACCGTTCAACGGCGCTGCTCCGAGCGCGTCGCCGCGGCAGAGCGGTGCCCCGGGCGGCGGCCAGTTTGGCATTCTGGCTCCCGCGACCATGCCGAGCGGTGTGGCGGTGGACGGCCATCTCGACGGCGCGCAGGAGACGCCGCCTGGGGGCAAGGCGCAGCAGCGCAGGGGCACGGGCAGGATCGTCGTCGACCCCCCGGATCTGCGGGCCTGGAGGGAGAAACTCTTCAACGTAAATGACATGATTGTCCTGACGGACGAGCAGTAAGGCTTCTTCTTCTTCCCCCGCTCTCCTCCCCCGCCTCGGTCGCCGGCGTTCCCGCTCCCACCACCTGCAGCGTCTACCGCGTGCTTTCCTCTCTCGCCGGCTGACGGGCTCCCGAGCCAGGTTCGAAACATACTTCCCTCACGTGGACAACGTCTACTCGCACCGCTCAACGCAGCGCTACAAGCGCAAGCCGTTCGTCTCCCACTACTGGGACTGTCGGATGAAGGGCCGCCCGCCGGGGACCCCGAAATCAGACGACCCGTCCAAGAGGAAGCGCAAGAGGAGCGCGCGCGCGCGGGACCTGTGCGACGTCAAGATCCGCATCACCGAGTACTTCCCCAACGCCAGTGCCTACGTTGACCGCGAGGCTGCCGCGGCCGCCGCGGCCGCCGGCTCCGCGCTGCCTGTCGGGCAGAGATTCTGGACCATCCAGCGCGTCAATGGCAACGGCGGCAACGGGAAGAGCGACGGCGTGGCCGGCCCGCACCGGCACACGCTCGAGAGGAGCGACGACATCAAGAAGAACAGCGTCCAGCGCTACGTGGCGCAGCAGGAGAAGCAAGTGAGGAAGACGCAGGTTTGTCTCCCCCCCCCGACCCAGTCCCCCCTAATTCAACCCCGTACGGGTGTCGCCTCTAAATTTTTTCTCTTCCATCTCCTTCTGTGCGCTGCAGAAAGCACCGCCGACGAGGGCGACCGGCGCGGCGGCGACGCTCGTCAAGAAGCGCTCGAAAGAGCACGACCTGAAGCTCTATTCCTCCTGTTACTGGTACGTCCACCCTTCTATGGCGCAAAATAATCCTCCTGACCCGCCCGGATCGCTCTCGAAGCCAAAGGCTTGGCCTACCAATACTGCGAAGTCGAGCCGTCCAAGACGCCCCCTCTCACGGCATCTACGCAAGCCGGTCTCGCGGAAACGGAAACCGCGCCCACCATACGCCAGGGCGACTGGTCTTGTTCCGAAAGCGCCGTCATTCTCGAATACGTAAGTCTCGGCTTGCCCTGGCCCTCTCCCCGCGGCTAACGCCCACAATCACTACAACCAGCTCGAGGATATGGACAAGAACACGCCCCTCCTGCCCGTGGACTCGAGGCTTAAAGCCAAATGCCGCCTCTGGATATACCATGTATCTAAGATTCGCCTCCTGGCTCTCACGCCCTTTGCCGTGTGCACCGCTGACGAGACCTAGATCGACGCCCGCATCGTTCCGTCCTTCTACAGCCTGCTGTCTGCCCAGGGAGCACCATCCCAGAGCGAATCCACGAGCCGGCTTCAGAAACACATCACCAGCCTCGTTCTCGCCGCCGACGAGCAGGGCCCCTTCTTTACAGGATCGACGCTGAGCCTCGTGGATATTCATTTCGCGCCATTTGCTATCCGGCTGTCGAGGATATTGGGGCCACTGAGGGGTTGGACGGACCCTGTGCCCGGAACGAGGTGGAATAGGTGGCTGGATTCGTTGGAAAGAAACGGGCACGTAAGGGGGACGACGAGTATGGATGATTTATACGTTGACACGGTGGAGCTGCTTGCTCGCAGGGACTACTGAGTCTCTCTTGTGGAGCGAAGACGTCGATACCTCCACCGCGTCGCATCTTGTTCCTTCTGCTCGGTCAGGCTTGTTACATGACGGGGCACAGATGGGTGGTACGTTTGGCGCTCGGCATAGGGTTTTTCTTGTGCTTGATCTGGGCGAGGAGTTCTGGAGCTTGTTGCGGTCTGTCGATGACGGCATGTATACAACTGGGTATCTGATCCAAACAATCGCTTCCTATTACGCCTTTTACGCAAACAAATTAGCCGCCCACAAAGAGATTTACAGTTTTAGGTTCATGGCGCTGTCGATGCGTTGCGTGGACGCAGTGGTCGTCTTCGTTTCAAATTTTCCCACTTTTTCGCGAGTTGTAATCGACTCGCCATTCAGCCGGGCCCTCTCACGCCCTTCTCCCAACTCTTCCAGATCCTTTGTTTCCAAGAACCTCTTTCCTTCGTCTTCCATCACACGCTGCGAATCAGGGAGGTACAGCCATGAAAATACGGCGCCCATGGCTGCTACCGAGCCGAAGAGGAGGAAGATGAGGCCCTGTCTACTTTCGCTCTTGTAGGCAGAGTTGATGCCGTATACAACTAGGACAGCTACGATGCTGCCTAGTTTTCCAGATGCCGCAGAGATGCCGTGGCATGTGCAGCGGTAGCACGTGGGGAAGATTTCGGCCGGAATAATGAAGGTCAATGTGTTTGCTCCTGGAAGTAAAACTGTCAGTCCCGCTCGAGGCGTACGGAGCCACAATACCACCAAGTCTATGAGGCTGTCTAGGGTACTTGAATAAATACCACAAAGTCGACCACATACCAAAGTTGAAAATGAAGTGGTTGATGGCAACAAATACAACTGTAGCAGGGGCAGCCGCTGAGTGGTGGACTCCATAGTAAACGCCCCCAGTGACCATGAGGAGTACCGTCAGTATAAGAAAAGAGGCAGTCAGCCAGTGTCGACGAGGCAATCGGTTTGCAAAATAAATGAAACAAACGCTTCCAGCGATGGAAGCAAGAGAGACGGTCAGCAGATACTGCTTCGTCTGCTCAACTAAAACGTCGTAAATGGTAGCGCACGGGTGCAAGACGTCGGTTTGCCATACGGGAACGCCCGTCTGCTTCCACTGCGGGACAGTTGAATTGCCTCCAGGGATCGACGACTTCCAGCACTTCAGATTCTCGTCAATGGGTACGGGGTCTCTGGTTGCCCACATATCTGACAAAGTTCTTCTATTGTCCAGGGAGAGGCCGTAGAAACTAACGTCAAGAACAAACCACGTCATGGATGTTCCTAGCAAATAATGCCAGTTCTTATCCCTGATGAAGTAGTTGTACAGATCTTCCTTGGAGAACTGAATCGTCATTGGTCTAGGGGGTAGTTCAGGCTGCATGCCGTTTTGATTTTGCATCTGAAAGGTGCTTCCGAGAGTGCCACTCACAGGCGCACCATATATTCTTTGAGTGTTCATAATGGCTACAGCGGGTTTGTTTCGGACCTCGAGGCTGTATAGGCCGCAATCAAACAGAAAGAATCGGAAAATTATGGCGAGGAGGGCGGGAATCGCGCCCGAGCCGATGACAATGCGCCAAATGCCGTCGACAGCCCTCCGGCATTCTTCTGCGTTTGCCGTGTTAAGACCACATTGCAGAGCCTGGAAGTTGTTGGAGTTGTTGAAACCAAGCAACACCAAGAGGCCCACCAGTTGAGCCAAAGCTTGTCCAACAGGTTGCATGAGAAAGACACTGGAGAGCATGGTAGCCCTCGACTGCGTACTTGACCACTCGGATGTGATTACAGCACTCAGTGGGTACTCGGCGCCGATTCCTATTTTCACGAGAAGCTGTCAGATGACGACGGCCGGCCGTTGGAAGCGGTTTGAGTGGGTGACGTTTCCCCGTACCAATTCCCATCACAAATCGCCACCATATGAATAGTCCCAGAAATGACAAGTCCCCTGCCCCGTGACTGCTTGTGGCAACTCCAATGGTTGACACAATGACTAAAACCAATTCGATTCCGTACAGTCGAGTGCGACCAAAGTAATCCGCGAGGAATCCGAAAAAGAGCTGCCCAATGACTGAGCCTAGCAAGGTGAAGAGATTGATGAGAAGGCCGGGCCATTGTCCTCCATGAGGATAATATACGAAAGCAACGGAAGCAAGGATAACGTTGGTAGAAAATAGGTTGTACCTGTTGCAGAGACGGCACAGTCAGCGAAGGTCGTCCCAGCCGTCGCCATGACGAGGGAGCAGTGGGAAGAGGAGTGTCTCGGTTACTCAAAATATACGTACGAGTCGGTAAGAAAGCCAGAAGCCGCAACGCCCCAAATGCGTAGGTTCCATGAGTTGAGGTCCAATTCATATCGAAGTTGGTGGCGGTCCTAGAGACGAGATGGAACTATTAGCAAGCCCGCCGGCACTTGTGATTTGGCAAAAGGAATGCAATTCTTTCACACCTGCGAGTCCTGCGCGGATAGTGCAGAGCTGCCGGAACCCAAGAAACCTCTATTTCTCCGCCAAGACGCTGTCAGGTACGTGAGCATGCCGTCTTGGTGTAGCCTCGATACTTGCTAGACTGTGCGACGAAACTTGAATGTGTGGCACAGAGAAGCGCAAGAGGCAGCGCTGATAGTCGGAGCGCTCATTCGGATTGCTTCCTTGATGTCGTCGACTTTATTTTTTTTTTCCCCTCTCTTGATGGGTAACGGATTGGCGAAAGTCGTCCCGAGAACGACCTCGCGACACATCTCATCGAGGCATGTTTCTTTACTCTGGCATATTCATTAGTAGGAAAGGATTGAGAAATCTGCGTGTGCCACGGACGGTGGGTTGGGCGAACAAGGACCACAGAGTAGTCCGACGCGTGACAGAACAGCCTGGCTGGCTGGCTTGGGCGTCTGGGGGCGGACGTGGGTGAGCGGGAACGCTTGGTATTGGGACAAACCTACTCCGTACTCCGTACGCCTTCGCCCTTTGACGAAGCTGGTGTTCAAGTAGCATCATGCTCTGCGCCAGCCTACCAGCACGAACTTGGCCTGCAGCGGCTGGAATCAACGGTAGAGGGTGGTTCGAGTAGATTGCTTGCCCGCACAGATGGAGAGCCAGACGGCCCCTGGGAAGACGACGAGCTGACAAAACACTGGCGGCGGCACGTAACACAAAACAAGTGATTGTCCAGGCACGTGGCGTTCTCGACCCTTGGCCGGCTGAGGAGGAGATGGAGTGGGAGCCAGGTTCTGACGTCCTAAAGGCGTCGATTCGGCTGGAACCTGCAAGGCTCGTTTCCAAGTAGAATATGTTGTATTTCTCATCTTGCGTCATTCAGATTTGCCGAGTATTGCACGTTATGTATACATAACCGATAACGTCAAAGCCATTGCGGTATGACAAGCTGCCGGGCGGTGCCGACATTTTGGTCTCGTCAACCGGGCATTTCCGGTATTGTCTGGTCTGCCTCAGCTATACAATCGTATACTCCGTCCACAGAAAAGATTGCCTAAACAAATGTTGTCCCGGATTTAACGAGGCGACGACGTAGATGCTGGGATGCTTGGTGCGAGGCTGGAGGGAGAGCTTCAGAAGTCGATGTGCAATGCGCACCGTGCAGCGACTCAGCGAGACGCCGGGGCTTGCTTGTTCCATGCGTCAGTGCATTCGGTAGGCAATCGACATGTGGAGGTTGGTCGCGGAGAAAAGCCGGCGGGATGTGAAGAAGTGGTGAGCACAAGTTCAGCCAACCCATCACGATGATGGCTTGGGCCTCGTGGGCGGCTCTCCCGCGTTTAGTGGTACGTACTCGATTGGGCAGTGGGCCCGCTTGGCAACCACCAGACTCAGACTGATGGATCCGACGGCCCGCCGCCCTGCGAGCTTTGGGCCGCGGACACTGGACACTGCGTCGCGGCCCGTGGTTCGTGGTCGAGGTACGGAGCAATACGCCAAGCTCGACCACGATGAACGACCAGCCTACGGACTCCGGAGTACGTGATTACAACAACCTCAAGGTCCAATAAGTCTCGGCGCATCAAGCACCTCCCTTCGGTACTCAAGCAGGTCTTAGTATCTGGGAAGTGCCCAGCCCGGTGTGTCGCCTGCCGTTGTTGGTGGTCCAATTGGAATCCTGGCTGACAGCATTCAATCCAATGTTCAGCACATCGCACCTGCCTCGACGCGCAACGGTGGCTGCAGGGCGACCACCGGCCAGCCGACCAGTCAAACCTACCGTCATTGATCATTGAGGAGTAGTCGATATTTTCCCTTGGTGCCGGCAGCTCAATCCATTCGACCACCGCTCGGCACGCTGGCGCTCCGATTCGCTTGCCAACAAACAGCCTTGTCAACCCATGCCCAGCCCCCGATGTTCCGCAGATGGCTTGTCATTGTGTAATTCCGCCCCACGCTTGTGCTTGTGTGGATCCTGCACCCTCCGACATGCGGGGAGCAGGGAGTTTGAGTGGTCCCCTAAAAGCACTCCGTACTAATAATAGTTGGCAGACAACTGCGGAGTACCAAGTACGTACTCCGTACGTATATTGCCCATGTACGGAGCAGGCACGGAGCAGTTGACAGGTACTCCGTATGACATTGTGCGTCCGCCGCCATGTATCGACGTTTTCGCGTGCTACGCTCGATTTCCTACTGTGATTGTTGCCCGCTCCGGTCTTACCAACCCAACGACTGTCCTCGCTCCAACAATGCGGGATTACAACAGGGGGGGGGGATTTTAAAAAAGAAGGAAGGGAAGGAAGGTGGGGTTCAACGGCATGGTTCAACGGCTCCCAGACCCAGACACCTGTCGTCAGACTCATTTTCATCCACCATGCCTGGGATTTCCACACATGCCCTCTCTCTCTCTGTGTGCTAGTTTCATGCCTCGGGACTCGGGACTCGGGACTGGGACGGTCCGCGCTTCCGTGGCCATGCGCTCAAGTCTGGAGCCTCCATACTCGGTACCCTGGCTTCTCATCAGAAAAAGAATCCGTTGAGCGTCACCCGTTCCGCGCCGCGCACCGCTTGTTGCTCTTTGCGCTTATTCCTTGCCCGCCGTCCCATCATCCACGGTCGCTCGTGACTCGGTCATGACCTATTTTATTCTCCGCGGCGACGCCCGAGCTTGGATCGTCCATGTCGTCTGCTGCGCAGGGTTGCAGCATACTACTTTAGCACCCGAGCCGTCGTAGGCATGGCCGCCGCCTCCTCTTCCTCCGGATCCTCCTTCACCTCGTCGTCTCTCGGCCGTCCTCCTACCTATGGCCCTTCTTATGCCAGCCCACTAGATTCGACTTGGACCCCAACTTCGGGAGTGTCGACGCTGTCGGCGCCGTCTGCCGGGGACTCAGTCGCACCCCAGACCTCCCTGCGTCCGCTGGAACTGGGGCCGCCCGGATATCAAGCAACAATGTGAGAACCCCCAGACCAAGCCTTGCACAGCGGTAGCGCAAGCGCAAGCGCAAGCGCAAGCACAGTACTACTCCGTAGCGCAGATTGCACACGTAACTACGTCTTGACTACTAAATAGCCCTCCAGAACCCTGTTTCAAGACACCCCGGACGAGCGCACTGTCTACCTTGGCCCGTGGGAAGTGGTTGGCTCCGAACATAGACGAGTCTTGTGGCAATGCAGCTACCAAAACGAGCTGCTTGAACATTACTGTACGTCGGCGGCAGCAGTCAGCGAATTGGCCTTGCGCCTGTGCCGTGTATACGTCCCAAGCCCTCGGCGCCGCTAACGTGTGTAAACAGTACCATCTGATGTCCCGTCGGAAATTCATCCACATACACTTCATTCTCGGCATCGACAGTACCATGATGCTGCGGACATGGAACGATACTTGACGTTCCCTGAACCCCATCGGATCCGGTACACCTCCGACCAAGGTGTCTGTATTCATGACCAGTACATTCAAGTCAGATACGAATTTACAACTGTCGATGGATCCAGCCGATTCCAAGGCGACTTGCGACGAAAGGACTTGATTGACTTTTACGACGTAGATGTAGTCTGGACTAATGTGCACGGCCGAACAGATAGTTTTGGCAAGGTCAAGGGAATCGGGGCGATTCAGCGTCTCAAGATGTGGCGCGATCGATGTACCACGTTCCATTCCATAAGCGTTCTTGCAAACAAGACGGACGGTCAGTATCGTGAGTATGAGGTGCACGTTTTTGACGGAGTGGTGCGAAATCGTGACGACGGAGCGAAACAATTGAAGCTTGGCGTTCGGAGCAGGCGAGGAAGCGCGCCTGATGAGCCGCCTCGGCGACGATTCTCGTTTGCTCGAGGGGTACGACCGAGAGTACGGTCATCGGCGGGTAGTAGTAGCCAGAGCAGCTCAGAATCGAGCAGGTCGTTCCAGCCGCCTGTCGACATTCGCTATCTGTCCATTCAGTTTAGCAGCCGGCAAGGTAAGTTTTGGCCTGCCGCACGTCTGTAGGCTGAGGGTCATGAGGCGTCGAGATCTAAAATGCAACGGCAGATTACCGGCGATTCCTCGAAATGTGGCTGTATGCTCACAGGGCTGATGGGGACTTCCAAGGGGTTTCCTTGCCTCCAAACCGGTTCGAGCTACCCTCACCACAGATGCTGCCGGGCCAACCAGCTGCGCTCGAGTCTCCTGACCGGACCCGTACACTGGAGTCTGTTGCCGAGCCACGGGATTCAGACGATAGAGGATAAAAGAGATGCGTAGAAGCGCGCACGATTTTACGACGGTTGTATGCCAAGGCCAGCATGGCGAAAAGGCTACGCCAAAACTGCGACGATACAAGGCAGGACAAAGCACATCCAAAACACGGCGTGTTGACGAGCATTCCAACGCAGCTGCCCTGTGGTTCGCCTTGGAACTGACAACAGCTGGAGCGCGTGGTGAAGCCCATGGATGGATCGGGGAGTGGACCGTGAATTTTGTATGCCCGTGGCTCACTTGAACGGTGGGAACGTCAGCCGTCCGGGACCCCCACCATGGCATGGCACAGCGCATGCTCATGCTGGTCTGGTCGACTTTAGTTAGACTATGCGTCATGGCGCACCACGCCGGCGGCACCACCTCGTCACCCCATGACGGCGTCATGTCTTTGTTTCGACCACCCATCACCACGCGAGCTGGAGGCATCCGAATCTCTTTCAGCTCTGGCGCACTCGTAGCCACATCTCAAGCCTGCGCTACACGCGTCATGTAGCTCATTTGCCATGAAGAAAATTATTCTTTCAATCAACGCCGGCTCCAGCTCGGTCAAGATATCCGCCTACTTGGGTGAGAGAAATGGGAATCTGCGTCGGATCGCCGAGGCTCAAGTCAGTGGCCTGACAGCACCTCCGGCAAAACTCAAATACTCGCGATATGGCAAGACAGTCGCCAACAATCAACCGGCCGGCCAGCAGATCGAAGGACAAGACGGCGCCTTCTCCGTACTCCTGGACACACTCATCAACGACAGCGACCTGGAAGAAATCACGTCCAAGGACGACTTGGCCATTGCATGCCACCGAATTGTTCATGGCGGCGACTACACCGAGTCTCGGACTATTACCCAAGACACATATCACCAGCTAGAAAAGCTGAGCGACCTTGCGCCGCTACACAATGGAGCGGCTCTCGGTATTGTAGCGTCGTGCATCAAGCAGCTCCCGGAAACCACCAATGTCGCCTGCTTCGACTCTCAGTTTCACGCCAGTATTCCACCACACATCTACACATATCCCATCAACCCGGATGTGGCGGAGAAGAACAGACTGCGCAAGTATGGGTTTCATGGCCTCAGCTACGCATTCATCACCCGGTCAGTCGCCGAGTTTCTAGGAAAGGACACGAGTGAAGTCAACATAATTGCGCTTCATCTGGGCAGCGGTGCCAGCGCCTGCGCAATTCAAGCCGGCAAGAGCCGGGACACAAGCATGGGACTGACACCTTTGGCCGGTCTTCCAGGTGCAACTCGAAGTGGCAGCGTGGATCCCAGGTATGTTGGAACATGAAGCTCGAGCCAACTCGTCACGGCCGTACCAGACCATGACGATGCTGACAAGCGATGTGGCGCGCACAGTCTCGTCTTCCACTACGCCAGCGATGTCGGCAGACTCTCGCCGGCTTCCACCAAACACCTCCACATTTCCAGGGCAGAAGAGATTCTCAACAAACAAAGCGGGTGGAAGTCCCTGACGGGCACAACGGATTTCAGTGTCATTGCCGGCTCCGACGAGCCCAAGCACAAGCTGGCTTTTGACATATTCGTCCATCGCGTCTGCGGCTTCATTGGCAGCTACTACGTCCTGCTCGAGGGTCAGGTTGACGCACTGGTATTTGCAGGCGGGATTGGTGAAAAGAGCGCCCGTCTGCGAGACGAGGTGGTGCGCCGCACGACCTGTCTCGGCTTCTCCATTGACCAGGCCCGCAACTCGAGCAATCTCGCAGAGGTGGTGGAGGACGTGAGCCTGGTCCAGGCGCGGCACCGGGTGTTGGTCTGCCAGACAGACGAGCAGTTGGAAATGGCCAGAGATGCCACAGGCAAGGACGAATTGTGGAGATGAGCTGGCTGAGTTTGTGCGTTGACGCGGTTTTCATGGAAGCTGTATGTATGTGTATGAGAAACCACGACCATGCGGCCTGGGGGAAGCAGTGCGAATAAAGAACAGCACGAGCTATCGGGACGACAGAATACCTCACGTATTACCGAAAATCAATGACCACAATTCTTGCAGACAATTGATGCGACTAGGGCACCTGCCCGATCGGATATCAGATGCCGGATACCGTGAGGCAATGCCTCAGCTGAAGGGATCACGACCCAGTCTGATCCGCGAGCCACGTCATGCTTGCTGATGCTTGGGGCTGACCACGAACAGGGCCACGCGGCCTGCTTGGCAGAGGTTTTTTATTTTTCATTTCTGTTTATTTATTTATTTATTTCTCCCGTCGACGACCGCTCGATGCCCGGCGCAAACAAAAAGTAAATCGCTCACGCTCATGACACCTGCCCGCCGTCTGCCATCTGGTGTCATCCAGTGCCGCATGCCGCACAAGCTCAGCCCAGTGAGCAAAATGAAACAGAGCAGGGTAGCACAGGGAGGCGCAGTATCGCGATTGTCCCGGCAGTGGCGCCGAACGCACGAATCAGATGAGTGCCAAATGTCGCCCGGATTGTGGCGGAGTTGCGAGACAGTGCTGGCAAGCTTCGGGTGGCGTTGCAAACATCAATTGCTGCGGAGTGGACGCCTTGTTGAAGCGGTGGCCCGTCGCCCGTTGGCCGTTGGCCGTTGGCCGAAGGGATTCTGGGATTCTGGGATTCTGGGATTCTGGGATTCGGATTCTGCAGGCCACCACCAACCACATCACATCACCCTGTCAGCCATTCATTGGATGCGAGGGCAGATTCCGGGTCCGACGCCGCCCCCTGCCTACCTACGTACATATAGCGAGCGAGCTGGCTTTGCTTCTTCGACCCTCCCTCGCGAACTCGTTCTCTTGCCAAGACAAACAACAGGGCCCGACGACGACGACGACGACGACGACGACGACGACGACGACAACAACGGCGACCGACAAGCCCCAGCCATGCGCACCCTCGCTCGTGTCACGGTGCTCGCGGCGGCTGCGGCCTCAGCCGTGGCCAAGGAGTACCGCGCCCTGGTGTATCGCGGCCCAGCGGTATGCCAGAGCTGCCCCGGGGCGCTGGCGCAACTCCTCGAGTCGTCGCCGCACAAGCTGGCCGTGACGTACGCCGGCCCCGACGAGGACGTCAAGGTGACGCCCGACAGCCTGCGCGACGTGGACGTGTTTGCGTACGGCGGCGGGCCAGGTACGTTTGTCCGCCCCCTCCTCGTCTGGCGAGCGAGCGACCGACTGACGCGCGCGGCGTCCCTCGACGCCCGAGAGCAGATCTGGGCCGCGCCTGGGCGGAGATCCGAGACTCGGCCCCCGCCATCCGCGACTTCGTCTCCCGAGGCGGCCGCTACATGGGCATCTGCCTCGGCGCCTTCCTCGCCGGCTACACGCCGGGGCTGGGCCTGCTCCCGGCCGGCGTCGACGTCGACAGCGAAATCAGCCAGCGCGGCTCGCAGGTCAGGAACGACTCCGACACCCTCATCCAGGTGGACTGGACCTTCCAGTCCGACTCGGCCGGCCACGCCAAGGGCCAGACCATCCGCGACCGCTGGGCCTACTTCCAGGACGGCGTCGTCATCAAGGGCGTGTCCGCGTCCGGGTCCGCGTCCGGGCCAGCCGCCGCCAGCGACACCGCCGTCCTGGCACGGTACTCGCGGTCCGGCAACGTCGCTGCTTCGCGGACGCCCCACGGCAACGGATGGGTTGTCCTCATCGGCATCCATCCCGAAGCGACCTCCCAATGGTGTAAGTTTGCGTCAACACACCCCCCCCCCCCGCTCCGCGGCAAACAGAGGCACGCACGCACGCACGCGCGGGAGGGAGGGACCGGAGCTGACGCGCCCTTTTCGCAGACAACCGGTACAACTTGGCCAACCCCGATGGCATCCAGTTCGACATCGGATACGACTTTGTCGGTGCCGCCCTGGGGCCCGCCGACGGGAGCCCCGGGAACCGGAGCCAGAGCCAGGAGAGCGGAGCCTGCAGGGGCGGGCGCGGCGCGGCCCACAACCCCCTGGCCGGGCCGGTTCGCACGGTGAGCAAGGCCGGGCAGTTCTTTTTGACATCAGTGCGCGCCGCGGCCTCGCTCGTCCGTGGACAGTGGCCGACTTCTCTCGTGCGCTGATCCATGTCCTGCCGGGTTCGGGTCGGGGGGGGCAAGGGGAGATGGTGTCGCCGCATCGCCAGAGCTGGAGGCGTGACAAACAAAAAAAAACATAGATACCCCGTGCATTTATTTCTCTGCTTGGTCAAATTTGTTTCACGGCACCTGAGCCAAGACAGCCCTGTGCAAAAAAAGTCCATGAGCAAACAAACAGGCATGACCCAGGGTGGGAATCATCGTTACCAGGCCGTGGATTCCTGACAGCCATAGACAGCATCACGCAAGGCGACTAGAATTCTTGGCAATTGGTATCAATTCCTGTACCCAGAAAATTCCATTCAACACAACCGCAGAGAGCAGGTCGGTCAGATACACCAGTGCCTAAAAGCTATATACGTCCCTGGAAAGCCGCCCATTGTACCAAACCCTTTTCGTGTGGTACTTCCAATCAACAAAGACGGTTGATCGGAACGTTTGTGAGTGTGTATGCGTATGCGTATGCGTGTGTGTGTGTGTGTGTCTCGTGTCTGGGATTGCATGGCCTGACATCCCTTAATAGAACAGTTCGTTAAAACAGAAATTTTCTTCCCCCCGACCACGAGACGCCAGAATGTGAACCAGTCCCACGCTGCTCTAGACAGCCAAGATTATGCATGACATGACACGCGTCTCGGGAGCTTTTCAGGACAGGAGAGAAGTGGTTCAGACGGGACAGGCTGAGGATCGACTCGGTCTGCTCTCAAATGGGTGGGAACACAAAAGACAAAATAAGGAAAGCTCATGAGGTGCTTAAAAACGTGTACAAGCCGCCTGTATACTGTAATCCCAAAGCTCCAGTGTGATCGCCGTGGTGCTGAGTCAACACAGATAGCGCCGATTTATATATAAAAAAAAAGCAAAATCGTAAGCCGCACCGCAAAACTGGATATCAATCAACAACGCCGGATCAAATGACGGCACAAACGAGGCGCCTCGTACCAAAATGTACAAAACATGACTCCATCGCCTTGCTAGCTGGGGAACGGAGGTGGACGCTGCTTATGAGCATCGTACCCTCCAGTGAGAAGAGGAAACAGAAAGATACCATTCGTCATCCGAGTTTTATTGCCCAACGAGTGTGCGCGCAAGGCCTACCGCGAAGACTCATGTCGGGTGCGGAATTAAGCATTACCAGAAATTTTGAGTGCCCGTCGGGAGGGAATATCGCGGACGAAGTATTCTCTCAAGTGAAAGCTCGATGCTTTCACTTCTGCAAGGATACCAATGTTATTTATTGTCTTCTGCTGCCCTCCTGGCAGGCTACTGCCATGGCCAAGGCGTCCAGGCCGCTACTCGGTGACCGGGCGACTGCAGGACGGTTCAGCAGGGGAAGATTGTGGGTGCGTAGTTCCCATGAGCTGGCGCTCGGTGAGGCAAGAGGCTGCGTAGAGGCGACGTAAGCGTCCGACTCCCACTGCATAGCCTCATGGCTCGTCGTGGTCGTTGAGGCGGACGAGCGGCTGCGACTGGTGGACGAGTTGCGGCGCGCTTCCGCAAGAACAGCCTTTTGCGCACGCTGACTGGCTGAGGATCGGCTCTTGTCCTTGTAGTGGGTTTCCAAGTGCTGTTTCATGTTGTCGGCGCGGGTAAACTTCTTTTGGCAGCCTGGGTATGTACACTGAACGGCCTTCTCGGCGGTGTGTATCTTTGAATGCCGTGAAGCGTGACCAGAGGTGGTGAATGTCTTCTCGCAGCCATGAGAGTCTCTATATCGGCAAGGATATCGCTTCCCAGGGCGGTCTGCGGGCAACTGTGCAGAAGGAGCGGGGGCGTCATCTTCATACGAGGTTGACCGACTGCTGTCGACATAGGCGGGCCGCTTGGTAGGGAGGTCGGAGGCGTATAGAGATCTTCTTGGATGGGCGTAGTCGGCTGAAGGGGTCAAAGGTGAAATGGGATCATTGCTCATCTGAGAGTCGTAGGAGTCCGAACGCAGAAGCTCTGGGGTATTGGGTGACGAGGAGCTGCTGCGTGGGCTGGGATACGGACGACTAAGTGCGTGGCCAGCGGATGGTGGGAGGGCAATATGATGTTTGTGGTGGTGAAGCTGGACCTTTTCGTAGCTGGTGCTCTCGTCGTTGAGCAGTGACACGCGGCGACCCGCGGCGTTTCTAGCTTCCATTTTGAGCAGCCAGGGAAGATGAGAAAATGGCGGTGCGGCCAGCTTGATGGTGTAGCAGCCGGCGCGACTCGAGCAATGAGTTGTCTGCCCTGGTCGGATGGCGCAAGATGAGCGAATTGAAGCGAATGGATGTCCAAAATTGGTTGGATTGCGAGGAGCTGGCACTGCCGGTAAGCACCTGCATGTATGTCGAATATGTTCGGTCGTTGGCTTTGGAACGTTGTGCAACGTGACCGTCAAGACTGGATATTTCCGGTTTCAGTGCTAAGGGAAGAGGAGAGGTGATGAAGCTCCCAGAATTGAAGTCTTGATAAACTGCCAAACACAAATGCGACGGCTTAGAAGGCAGAGAAGTCAAAAAGAGGAAAGTTTGTTGGATCCCTCTAGAGTGTTGGTGTTAGATAAGAGCTCAGAACAGCCAGCCGTTGCAGAGACTAGTATAGTAGGCTTGGTGGGCTTGGCTTGGCGGGCTTAGCTTGGCTTGGCTGGGCTGGGCTGGGCTGGGCTGGGCTGGGCTGAGGTTTGAGGGGAGAGGCGAGAGGCGAGAGGCGAGAGGCGAGGAGTAAAGGTTAAAGAGAGACGAGGCGTGCTCCGAGGGCGACGAGGGTGCCGCGCCGCGACGGGTACTAATAGAGCTAACGGAGACGGGAGCTGCAGGTGCCAGAGAGCAGAGTCAGAGGCGACCGAGGGGAGGGCAGTGACGTTTTCGTGACGACAAGGTCCTGGCGCAGAGAGGCGTGGGCAGGCGAAGCAGGTGTAGACAGGTGAGGGCAGGGCGGGAACCATCAATGGCTTTGTATCAGACCGTGTGGACGATGTTGGCCGCCTTGGAAGGCAAACGACGGGGGGGTAGAGCGTGTGCAATGTGTCGATGCTTGACTTCTGCTGCATGTGGTGGCCAAGCAGGAACTGTATAGCGTTAGCAGGCAAAAAGGGCCGGGTCTGACGGCGACGGAGAGGGGGAGACAAGTTACAATGGTCGAAGGAGGAGCAGCTCCGGAAGAGAAGGAAGAGACGGAGGGTGAGGGAGGGACAGGGAGAGTAAGAGTGAGAAAGTGTGTGTGAGAGTGTGAGGGTGAAGGAAAGAGAGAGACGGAGGAGCCTGGTTGACTTGATTGTCGACTGACTACTCGGTGCGGCGTACGGAGTAGAGAGCGCGAGAACACAACAGCATCAGGGATTCAGGGCAAAGCAGAGCCAATTGAGGCAGCTGGCAGGACGAGCGGGAGGGAGGGATCGAGTTTTCAGCAATCCGGGCGTGTTTCGCATGAAACCCCATCCTCGCCCAGCACTGGGTGGGATCGAAGAAGCACTCCCGAATGACGGCGAAGAAAGATTAGCACCTTCATCATGTTGTGTCTCAATCAGTGCCTGCCCGGAGCCAGAAAGCACGTTGATTGGAGCTGCGCCCGTGGCCAGCCTGGAGCACAACTGCCTAGCACAACCGCACAGGCTACAGCTGCATGCGAAGAACCCTGCCTGCCTGGGGCCTGGCTTAGCGTCCAAGAGGGCAGGGAGCAGGGAAGAAACGGGGGCTTGGGGCTTGGGGCTTGGGGCTTGGGGCCTGTGGCTTGTGTACTACGTACAGAGTAGGGCACATCGCGGGGCCCTGTGCTCCGTACATGGCAGCAGAGCAGAGCAGAGCAGAGCAGAGCAGAGCAGAGCAGAGCAAACATTTGAAGCAGAGCAAAGCACAAGCGGCATTGGATTGGTATCCCAGACATGGCCAAGACAAACCCGGGCCTTGCCCTGTCTTGCCTCGCCTCGCCTCGCCTCGCCTCGCCTTGCCTCACACGCCACGCTACGCCACAGCCACGCCCCCTCCGCCGCCGGCCCCTCACCCCTCCAACGGCCTGCCAAAAGCCAGGCAGAGGCAGGCCCACGAAACCAAACCTTGAAAATCAACACCCCTTCCAAGTCCTACCCATCTCCTCCTCGTTGCAGCCACGACACCGCTGTACGTTCATACATGGTGGACTTCTGGGTCGATTAGACCAATTTGGCAATCAGCCCTTTTCCTCCCGTCACCCTCGACATCAGCGCAGCGCAGAGAGCCTTGGAATGACCCTTGAGATCCCGGCCCTGGCTGAGACGCAGCATCAACGTACAACTACCAAGTTGGCCTCGGGCGGCTGTGGCCTCGACATCCCCATTTGACTCTTTCAGTGCCGAGTGGCCAAAAACAGCCCGCCCACCACGAACGCTGTGGTCCAAGAGGCCCTTTGGGCCCAGGACTCTGCCCACGCCCCCTTCCTGATGCTTGGAGCAGGTGGAGACCAGGCACAGCACAACAGGGACCCGTGGGAATGGAAGGAGGAGTGTGACAAGGCCCGGACGACGGAGTAAGGAGTACATGCGCGTCAACGACGAAGTCAGAAGCCACCCGCTTGTACGGAGTACCGGCTGGCTTTGCCTCGCTGACTCGTCTCTAGAGGTCCCTGGCATTGGAGCTGCAGCTGTTGCAGAATTCAAAACGTTATCCTCAATCACGCTAGCCATGGCCATGGCTTCTATTGCAATACCGAGATTTTCTCTCTGGGCCTAGCCCTCTCAAGACATTATTGGGGTTGGAGCCGCTATCGAATGTCATCTACCCGGCGCGTTTTCCAGTCCGCCAGGGCATAAGCCAGGCCAATCAAGTCGACCTTGGAAGACCAGAGCCGTGCGGGTAAGGCGTCATCGTTACTGCCATGATAGGGCGAAAAGGTTCGTGCCAACAAACAATTTAACGTGTCGACGGTCGTGCTTACATGCCCAGTCCCGCTGTAGCCACACAGACATCGATCAGGGCCTCACGGATCTAGGTCAAATTCTTTGCGCGCAGGTCGCTGCGTTGTTTAGTGAATCCTACAAGTCGCCATCAAGGGGGCTTCACTATTAAAAGACTCAGTTCATATATCCTTGCATCCCAGTCGGTAGTGTTATGGGGTTCTTTGTGAGGAGTCAGGACCACTCCCCTCCTCGCTCCCTCCTCCCTCTGCCGGCGCGTTAGGCTCCAGCTACGGAGTAGTACTACTGTTCTTCCCTCAAGTTTCTTCACCGACATACCAAGCCTTTCGGTAGGGGACAAACCTGGACGCTTAGGCTCTTGCAAACAAGGATGTTGCCTGAGATTCGGGGCCGTGCTGGCCGCAAGAGATGGCCGACGGGTCAAGCTGGGGCCAAGTGTTCTCACACTCCCTCCCCTGAGTGCCAAGGTAGTCAGTCACCAAGGAGCAACCCAAAGGTGAGGTTCATTCCGAGCTTAAAAAAGGGGGGGGGCTAGATCTCACCACCAAAATCTCGATCTCAGTTCGTTTTCAGGACTCGCGTGCCCGGGGATCGCACCGACGCTGCCAGTGAAAATGGAACTCCAGTGATCGCTTTTCCCAAACGGATTCTGCAGTCTTGCGAATGGTGACGTCAAAACTTTCAGGCCATTCGCTGGCACCAAGGCGGCCCCGAGAGCCCAACAACGCTCAAGCTACCACTGCAGAAAGTTCATATGGATCTTTCAGATGCGAATTATAGGCATCGCCGTAGCTCCATCTGTTCACGGATTTCGCCATCTTTTGTGGTGGATATTTGTGCAAAGTTGGTCCTGTTGCAGAACAACTTTCTGTCTTTGTTTTTCTCATGTGCAAATTAATCTAGTCGCGCCCGGCTATCACACCCCCTCTACGCATGTTGATTGCAGCATCAGATGTTGCTCATAGGAGAGCGATCTTTGCTTACGAGCTCAATCGTGGGCATTGATTAACATTTATTAGTGGAATACAGAGCCCAGTCGGCCCCGGAAACAGGGAAGCGGCGCTGCAGGGAAGCTCACGAACCTTTGGGTCATGGAAGCTGAGGTCGGAAATCCAGGGTCGCCTCAGGGTCCAGGGTCATGGCCCACAACATCGACCAATGATCGGAGAGATCGATAAAAACGCACCGGGATGAAAGGGATGAGGGCTGGAGTTCAGAGTGTTGTGCGAGCATGGAGTTGGGCCGCTGAAGGTACCGCATACTCGCAGCCTCGCTGGCGTCGGTCACGCCGCGTCCAGTACCGAATACCTTGCAACAACTTTCGCGACCCGAGCATGCAATTTCAAACAAAACCATGTTGTCATGTATGCGTTTTCTTCCCCGCTTTCTGAGGAAATCGAATAGGCATCTGGCGTAGACACACCATTAGCTAGCACCGCCAGTCCGCCGGCGTGCTTGAGCATTGGTGCGGCCATTTCTCTCCGGGAGCCACTTGCGTACTGTTGACGTTTGACGTTTGCCGCAACTGTGACCAAGGTGTCTTCGTTGACCCTTTACGGAGGATGTACGGAGTACTGGGCCTACAGGCTACCTACTACCTAGGTAGGTGTCATTATGCGGATACACTCCGTACCGACTGGGTCGAGAAGAGTGTCAGCGGGGCCCCTGGATACGTTCGGTCGCTCCCAGGCCGCTTCAGTCAGCCAGGGTGCAAGTGGTGATGGAGGCACTCCTTGCCATGGAAGGCCGGCTGGGCAGGGGGTGCGCAACATTCGAGTCGATACAACATGTCGAAAGCCCGCGAACCGCTCCATCTCCCAATGTCCACGGTGACGTCACTACTGGTCTCGGCGTCGCACCACAAATCTAAAGCCCAGCTGCTTGCGGTGATTGAAAGGCTCTGATACGAGGGAGGTATCGTGGGGACCGAGAGGAACGTAGCTGTGTCTTCACATGGACGAGGACTTGGAGATTGTGAGAGCTTCAATTCTGAAGGCTGGAATTCGTGAGCCAAGGCTCGGGAACCAGCAAGACAAGCACTCGCGGAAAAGCAAGCGACAGAGGTCGGGTAACTACGCACTTCCTAAAGCACTGGAAGTCCTAATCCGGCGGCGTCCCAAGAGAGAAGGCATCATCCAGTTGGCATGCAAATGCAAATGCAAAGGATAAGTTGTATCGTGGTCGCAGAGAATGCGAGCAAGGCGCAAGGAGCCGCATCTGTCTCCCAAACCTTTCACGTGCCAACATTCCAGGTAACAGGAGTGAATCCTGGTGGGTGTTCAATGACATCGGAAAGCTACGCAAGATCAAGTATGAAGGAAATGGAGATATTGCTCCGTTAGTTGACAGTTAGTGTTGCAAGAGTGTGCACTTTTGCTGATGACCTCTCCTGAAACCCGCCGGTTGCAATTGGACACTAGGGGTCAAACAAGTCCTTGTTTTTGTCCTGGAATCCTGCCCTGGTGAGGTCAGCGACGATCACGGCGCCAAAGCGGCGTATAATGGCAACCTTCTCCCTGTTTCGGGCCCTACGCCGCATTCGGCCTGCTAGCAAAACTTCGCAAATCGACTCAAGCGGCGTGATCGAGAATCAATAGCTTGCTGATCGGAGCTCTGGCTGTGCGATCGACGATCGACGACCCTGACACCCTGAAAAAAAAAAAGACTGGAAAGGCAAAGCTCGAAGGGTCTGCTTTTCGCGTCTCCACCACAAGTCCGTCCCGCTTGCCATGCCATCCGCGGTGACATCTTTTCGCTTCTAGCTTCTAGCTCACCTGCTACCGGATGGCGAGTGACATTCGCTGCGGTGAAAAAGGTGCAGGATTTTCTTTGGACGAATACCCTCCGAGGCTCCCCATGGCCTGATGAATAAGGTTGGGGACTAGAGCACCACTTGTCGAGTGGCAGAGAAGCAGAAATACTCCGTACGCAGGAAACTTTGAGCCCGCTCTCTTGGGTGCGGCTTTATGATGCACGCACGCCCTCGGGTCAGCCTGTCCACGAATCGGGGGTGGCTGGGTGCCGGTCCGGGACATGGGTCTGAAAATACAAAATACATACACACAAGGCCGTGCCAAGTTGTTTGGTTGTTTGGCAAGCCACAATGTCCCTCCCGAGCCATTTGACGACTCCCAGAGACCTCAAAATTACCTTTCCTATGCCGGTCTGGTGTCGATGGACCGCGTTCGACGCGTTTCTGAATACTCACTGGAGCCATACGCCTTGTGGGCTAGCCATGGACCCTACTCATACATAGGATGGCGGCGAGGTACTGTACGATCAAGGTTTGCATGCGTGTGCTGCTCGAGTGAAGGATTGCGTTGAAAAATGCAAGTGCTGAAACTTGGCATGTGACATCTTTGGTTTGTGGCTCAAAAGACACTAATGGAAGGAATACCCAGGCAAACCCTCTCCATGAAGAGTTGATTGACTGCAGCCGCACTGAGGACTCTGGCTGTGCAGATTTGCTTCCTGATCTACGGCATGCTGGACGGGATTACGGACACTTTGCAAGGCTGCGGTTGAAGCCTGTCCATGGCTGCAACTCTCGAACTCAAAAGTTGACTCAACTCCCCAGGCCAAGGCAATGCGGCGAACGACGTTCTATTTCTGTCCGACAGATTGAGCCTCTTGCATGGCGACTGGCAAAGGGCAAACAAAGCAGCAACACACCAACAGGCACAGGTGAAGCCAAGACGAACGAATCATTTTAAAGCCTTTTTGCAAAGAAATACCGTGCCTGGCTTGAACGACGTCATGACTCTGCCGGATTTTTATTTTTTTGGACTAGGGCAGAGCGAGGACACACGTGACGGTGCTGACGGACCCTGTGGTTTTTGGGCCCCTTAGGTCCCTGCAAGAGCTCCAAGGCTGCTTTGCAGTAGTTAATAGTGGGATTTCCATGACTGACACCTTGATGGCGATGAGGGGGAAGGTCCACGGCAAGGGGTCGTTGAGTGCTGATGCCTGGACACCCCCCGGGCCACAAGCATCGCCGTCGAGTGTTGGATAAAGGAGTCGGCAATCTTTCGCGAGGGGCAGATGCCAATTCTTCGTCGGATCCCGCGCCGTGGAAGAAGTAATCAAGAGGGCTGGTGGGCGGACTAGAGGCAGGCAGGCGAGCAGTTGGCTCAACTTGTAGCTCTCAATCAGTCTGGGATCTCGATGCCGCGAGACGCAATGCTTTCTTGCCCCAGCAGAAATAGTGGAAGTATTGAAGGGACAAAGGGTTCTTTCTCAGGATCTAACCGGTGCCGGGTCTGCGGCGCGTCCAGGGTATTTTCACCTTGTTCATGACATCCCTTTCCCATGATATCGACTCCCCGGGAGCATTGTCCGCTCAACAAGTTCAAGCGCCGGTGACCCAGGCGCGATCAATTTCCCTCTTGGGCCCTGCCGCCTGAGCCCTGCACGCACTTGGCGCCTGCAGGGCCTGGAACATGTCGTGACATGACATGGCGTGGGAGGGTGCATTCTTGGGACATTCTGGGACAGTCAGTCTTGGGACACACGGGACCGGTGCGCGCCCTCTGGCATGGGTTGAGATTTGTTGCCGCTGATCCCCAGCCAAAGGAATGTGGTCATGACGGAGAATCAACCCGGCTCCTTACATGTAAGACTGTAAAACGTGACGGCGTCTCTGGCACCTCGATATCAAACCCTGCGATGCGACTACGACTACGACCACGACCACGACCAGGCCGGGTCTAGTCGACGAGTCGAGGACCACAATGTAAGTCTGTGAGCTGTGAGGGGGCCCATTGCTCCAGTAATCACAGAGTACCGGTATGCCCAACAAACCTTGGGCTGGTCTTGTCCGTGTGGAAGTTAGTCTTGGATTCTTGGATCAGGATAAGGTTATCCCGCTAACCCGATTGCATCCAAATGCCCACGGTGCGATGCGCTTCGTACAGATCCGGCCGTCCCGATCCGAGAGAAAAGCCGCTCTGCTTGGCCGCCACGAGTGGCACTGCCGAGCACAGATGAAGGGACACGGGCCTGCTACCCTGGAGAAAGAAGCGGCTGCACATGGCTTCTTTTGAGGTCCAGCAACGAGGTGACGAGGTGTCGTGACGATGTACAGAGTACTGGAGTGGTGGGTTAAACGCGGCGCCAATTCCACGACGTCGGTTAATAGGGATGGATGCTGGGACAAGAAACAAGAAGGATTGAACCGGAGACGCTGCCGTCCGCCGCGCTGGCGCCAAATTACAACTCTGTAAATGATGCCTACTGCCACCGGTAACCCGTGTAGGTATCACGGCCATCAAGCTCGGCCAGATTTGTGACATTGCAGACTTGGTGTGACGACGACTTTGCCGCTGGACCGCACTACAAGACGGGTTCTCTGAGCAACAGACAGGCGGGACATGTCTTGACTGCACATTTCGGTTGTACAGCCTTCCGGAGGAAGGGTCATGGATGGACGGTCCGGCAGCCAAGCTGTGCGTTTGCGGAGAGAGGGTATGGAAGTTGGCGGCGCGTCGTGAGTGTTGTTGCCCATCCATCCACGCATACACATATACATATATATTGCAGGAGCGTATCATGGACGTGAGAGCCGACGGATGGGTTGACGGTTCACGCCGACATGGGAGGGCACATGGATGGCAAAGTGAGACGCGGTGTTGCTGGGCGAGGGCGCTGCGAACCAGTCGGACGGCCGCAAGGCCTGCATCTCAGGACGCATGACCTCCTCTCGAAGCATCCCTTGTCTTGCCTGTCCTGCACTGCACGTCTTGCACGTCTTGCCCGTCTCGCGGGTCTGGCCGGCGACTCGAGCCTCAAGGCGGCGAAGTTGTTGCGTATGCCCGACTGCCATGCTGACCCCAACCGTGTCTCGGGTGTCCTTCACCCACGTCTCGGACAGCAGCGCCATCCCGACACGCACGAACGCACGCAAGCAAGCGCACACACCGACGACGCAAGCGGTGGACACGAGCCAAGCAACGGGGAAGCCATGCGAAGAGGCGATCTCGGGCGGGCAGGGAGGGGGGGCGGAAGGCAAAGCTTGAATCTGAATAACAAGCACAGCGAAATCAAAAAGGCGGTAAATGGAGGACGCAAAAGAGCAGGGCAGGCAAGCAAGCATCGAACTGTTGACTCTTGCCACGGCGGCCGAGGTGTCGATCCCTTGCTCCCGCAGCGGCTGTGCCAAACCCAGCCAGGTACGCACGTCCATGTCTGTGTGGCCGTGGCATCAGCTTGCAAAGACGATTGACAGGCCTCAATTTCATTCCCTGCTGGGCCTTGCGGCTTCCCAGTCGTCGGCGTTGCGCATTTTCCCAGGCTACCCTTGTGGTGCTAAAGATGGGAAAAGGGGGGGGGAAGAACTCCCTCACTCTGCAAATACGCCCTGGGTTGCAAACGCTCGTTTCTGCACGGGTGGAAAGGCCAAGGCAGAGAGGCACGAATTAGATCCTCTCGCCTCCCTGCTCCCTGCATCGTGGACATACCACGTGCAGTCCAAGTCCGTGGCACAGCACAGCGGCATCCGAGTTATACACGGCGGCTTATGATATGACGCGCAGTGGCCGGGGACCTGGTCTGGTCGATGGCCGTCTGTTTCCCTCGCGTGTGCGTACGTACCTGTATCGCCGAGAAACGGTCGATCCCTTCCTTCTCGCGCAGTCCCAGTCCCCCCCTAGCGATGAATGGCTTTACAAGACGTGCGTAATACAGGTCTGTAATACACTTGTCATCTTGTCATCTTGTCAGGCCAGCGAGCTCTTTTGTGCCTTCCATACATGCGCCCTCGTTACTCCGTATTGGCTATTCTTACAACTTCAGTACAAATGGCCGCCGGGGCGACATCTGGTAAAGAGAGAGACCAAAAAGCACAACGCCATTTCGCCGTCTTGTATGCTGCGTCGGGTATTCGTCCCTATTTCCGCGGCGGAGGAGGTCCCATCTTGGTGGCTCCTGTATCAACCCTCTTGGCAGCCGGCAGATGAGGCACCTTGAAGCCGCCGTTGGTCGACGACGCTGATGCTTCCCCCCCCACCTGTGTGAATGTACCGCCCTTGAACCATCTATCTTCCTCGGCCTTGCGCTTCTTACTGAGCTCCGCTTGAACCTTTGGGTCGACCAGCTCCAAGCCTTGCACTGGCGTGAACGCCAGGGATGAAGCAGTGCCGGTCGCCGACCCGATCGTGCTTCCGACGCCAGAGGCTCGAAGACCCTTTCCGCGCAAGTCCATGCTGCCTGGTGTTTGGCCGAAGCCGCCGATGGACGACGCAGCGCCGCCCATGGTGCTGGCGCCTCCCCATCCCTTGTTCTTGGCACTGAGCTTCGCCCTGGTCCGCTGGTCGATTTGCACATTTCGGATCCTGCCATCGTTCTGTTGTCCAATCATACCCATGCCAACCGTGCCCGAGCCTGTGCCGTAGCCAACTTCCTGTTCTTCCTTGCCAAATGCCATCCTGTTCTGGGCCTTGCGCAGATCCGTCATGGCCACGGCCTCCTTGGCCTTCCTTGCTCGTCGGCCTCCCCGTTTCCTCGACGGTTTGTCGCCGGGAACAGGCAGCGCTCGCTGTCCCTTCTTCGCCGGCGGCTCCGTCAGCTTCTCGAGGCGCTCTAAGCATTGCGACTTCAGCTGGTCCCCGGTCGAGCCATCTGGCGTCGAGTGTATTCTATCGACCCGCGCGGCCAGAACGAGCTTCGCGGCCACTATTCTCATTGCTTGCTTCTTCAGGTCATTGGGGATGCCGCGAATCATTTCCGAATTGTACAGATATCCCTGCTGGCGGACCCCAATGTTGGTGGCCAGGCCTGCCTGACGCTTCTTTGATCCCCACGAAGGGATGTTGCAGGCCGGGGTTTTGGAGAGGCCCGTCAAGCCGCCGGCCGTGTTCAGAAGTTGCGCGGCAGTGAGAGACCCGATGAGGGCTGTCAAATTCGGCGCAAAGATGTTCATCCGAGACTGGACATATTCCGTCAAGGTCTGCTTGGCCCTGTGCAGCGACACCATCATGGCGCACGCCTGGCGCACTCTGTACAGCTCCTCGGGGCTCAGCTCGCGGCCCTTGGACGTCGTGGCTTCCACCGTGACAACCATGAGCGACGGTCCGTCGAGCACGGCCTTGAGCCCCATCTCCATCGGGTTGTCTGTAGAGGTCTGCAGTGCCTTGATGCTCTCCGAGCTCATCGGTCCGTTGCCGATGATCGACACGACCTTGGCGTACTCGAGCGGCGTCGTCACCAGTCGCTCGAGTTCGGGGAACCGCGTCGAATAGTGGTCGCGGATGAACTTGTGCACCAGCACCACCTCGCCGTCAATCATTGTTGACAGGCTATTTGACTGCGTCAGCAGATTATACTCGGGGTGGTCCTCGATGTTGCCGACGCTGGTGGCTGTCTGCGTAGACGTTTGCGATCGGTAATGCCCAATTTTCTGTAGCGTTCGGTCCAGAATGTCAGGGCTGTGTCTCCAGAGGCTGAGGATGTAAAGGAGCCGTCTTTTGATTTCCAAAAAAAAAAAAAAGGAAAAAGGAAAAAGACGAGAAAAACGAATTCGACGTCGACTTGGATGGGGTTCAATACTAACCTCGAGAACTGGCTCCAGCGTGTGCATCAGGCTGGCGACGCTGCGTACATCCTTGACTGCGCCGAGCTGCATCTTTTCGACTTTTGCCTTGGTAGCCTCGGCGTCCCCCATTTCCTGCACATCTTGACCGTCGTCGTCGTCTGATCCATTCCCGTCGTCGTCGACGTCCATGGCCTCGTGGCCGCCATTTTCTCGGTCATCGTCGTCGACGACGAGGCCACCATTGTCATTTTCGTCCGCTTCGTCCCCCGAACTTCCAAAGTCGTTCAGAAGCTCGTCGGCAACGGTAGACATTGCAGCAGCGATTGATCGTGTCGGAAGAGGTGGCGAAGAAAAAGGAGAGCTTTTCTGCGGGGAGGATGTCGAAAACGAAAGCAAACGTCCCGAGTCGCCTTTGTTCGTGGATTATCAGTCGAGCGGATGTCGTTGGAAGCTGCATGTGGCCCGTGCGTTGGCCAAAGAAAACCCCCGTCACTGATAGGTTGCTTGGGCACGACCCAATATTTCAGCCTCGCCTCAACTCTCGACTTCTCGACTTCTCGACACGCGCAGACACGCACGGCACGACCGACGCCTCGCAACGACCACACCGCCCATACGCACGCGTGCGTCCGCAGGAGTGAAGTGCCCGAACGCGGCTCTGTCGCCGTCACCCCACGCACCATGGAGTCCTCGAGGGGGCCCCCGAGGGTCAAGAACAAGGCCGCCGCGCCGGTCCAGATCAGCGCAGAACAGCTCCTCCGCGAGGCCGTCGACCGCCAGGAGGTCGGCGTCCAGGCCCCGACCCAAAAGTTCTCCGACCTCGAGGAGCTGCACGAGTATCAGGGGAGAAAACGCAAGGACTTTGAGGACTACGTGCGCCGCAATCGCATCAACCTGAAGAACTGGACGCAATACGCGCAATGGGAGCTCGAGCAAAAGGAGTTTGCCCGCGCGAGGTCCGTCTTCGAACGGGCCCTCGACGTGCTCCCTCACAACGTCGTGCTGTGGATCCGGTACATCGAGGCGGAGATGAAGTCGCGAAACATCAACCACGCGCGGAACCTGCTGGACCGCGCCGTCACGATCCTGCCCCGCGTCGACAAGCTGTGGTACAAGTACGTGTACATGGAGGAGATGCTGGGCAACATCCCCGGCACCAGACAGGTCTTCGACCGGTGGATGCAGTGGCAGCCCGACGAGGCGGCCTGGAGCGCGTACATCAAGCTGGAGAAGCGGTACGGCGAGTTTGAGCGGGCGCGCGCCATCTTTGAGAACTTCACCGTGGTGCACCCCGAGCCGCGCAACTGGATCAAGTGGGCCAAGTTTGAGGAGGAGTACGGGACGAGCGAACTGGTCCGAGAGGTTTTCGGGAACGCCGTCGAGGCGCTGGGCGACGACTTTGTAGACGTGAGACTGTTCATCGCGTACGCGCGGTTCGAGTCGAAGCTCGGGGAGCACGAGCGCGCGCGCGCCATCTACAAGTACGCCCTGGACAGGCTGCCGCGGTCGAGGTCGAGGCTGCTACACAAGGCCTACACCACGTTTGAGAAGCAGTTCGGCGACAGGGACGGCGTCGAGGACGTGGTGCTCTCGAAGCGGAGGGTCTACTACGAGGAGCAGGTCAAGGAGAACCCCAAGAACTACGACGCGTGGTTCGACTACGCCGGGCTGGAAGAGTCGTCCCGAGACGCGGACCGGATCCGCGACGTCTACGAGAGGGCGGTGGCCCAGGTGCCCCCTTCGCACGAGAAGCGGCACTGGCGGCGGTACATCTACCTCTGGATACTCTACGCCGTGTGGGAGGAGCTCGAGGGCCAGGACGCGGAGCGGGCGCGGCAGATATACCGCACGTGCCTGGACCTGATACCCCACAAGAAGTTCACCTTCGCCAAGGTGTGGCTCCTGGCCGCGCAGTTGGAAGTGCGCCAGGGCCAGCTCACGGCGGCGCGGAAGCTGCTCGGCCGCGCCGTGGGCATGTGCCCCAAGGACAAGATATTCAAGGGCTACATCGACCTGGAGCGGCGGCTGTTCGAGTTTGTGCGCTGCCGCACGCTGTACGAGAAGCACATCGAGTACAACCCGGCCAACTGCCAGACGTGGATCAAGTTCGCCGAGCTCGAGCGCGGCCTGGACGACCTGGACCGCGCCAGGGCCATCTTCGAGCTCGCCGTCAACCAGCAGCAGCTCGACATGCCGGAGCTCCTCTGGAAGGCGTACATTGACTTTGAGGAGGAGGAGGGCGAGTACGAGCGGACGCGCGAGCTCTACGAGCGGCTGCTGGAGAAGACGGACCACGTCAAGGTCTGGATCAGCTACGCCCACTTCGAGGTCAACATGCCCGAGGACGACGACGAGGGGGCCGAGGAGCAGCCGCTCAGCGAGGAGGCCAAGGCGCGCGCGCGCAGCGTCTTTGAGCGCGCGCACAGGAGCATGCGCGACAAGGACCTCAAGGAGGACCGCGTGGCGCTGCTCAACGCGTGGCTGTCGTTTGAGCGGGAGCACGGGGCCGGCGACGACGTGGACAGGGTCCAGAGCCAGATGCCGCGGAGGGCCAAGAAGAGGAGGCTGCTGGACGACGACACCTACGAGGAGTACTTTGACTACGTGTTCCCCGCGGACGACCAGCAGGCCAAGAACCTGTCCAACATCATGGCCATGGCGCAGAAGTGGAAGCAGACGGGGGGGGAATTGTCGGGCGCGGGAGGCGCGTGATAGGCCTGTCTGTATCCTCAATCATGTTCTTGAAAGCGAGTGCCTGGTGCGGTGCAACGTGATGCGAATGGATTGTCCTCGCCAGTGACGAATCTGCCAACCATGTGCGTTGTACAGAGGGAGCCTCTGCGGAAGAAATCGACGGAGACGGCGACGACGGTGATGATGATGATGATTGCCAAAGATGTCCTGGGCCTTGTTGGTATTTCATTCAGTCTGCCTGCCTGTCTGTCTGTCTGTCGCCGAGCTGTGCCCTGTGTGGAGACATCTTCCTTCCTATCATTGGCTGCAGACCCGTCGGCGGTGGGCCGCCTCGCGGCGCCCCCAAGAATGCGAATAGGTTTATAAGATACTTTTACTCTGACCCTTTCGGCCGGGTAGCTCAATGGCAGAGCGTCTGATTACACAAGTATCCTTAAGGTATCCTTATAGTATCCTTATGAGTAATCAGAAGGTCGCAGGTTCGATTCCTGCCCTGGCCACTTACTTCTCTTTTTGGTTCCCGCACCACGCTGCTTTTTTGTCTGCTGGCTGCGCAGCACGTCTGTCATTTTCAGCCTCACTACCAAGTAGAATGAACCACGGAAGCGTCGAAGAGAAAGAAAAAACCTCGACATCAAAGGATACAGGCGTGCGCTCCCTCCGCCCCGGCGGCTCGTTGTCGCGGACCAGAGTACACAGACGAGGCTGCTGCAAAGTCATCGAGAGGCATTCAGGAGGGAGGTCATTCAGACCAACCCTCCATTGGCTGAGCTGCGTGGCACAACATGGCGGGCTCCTTGTTCGTTTCATCTCATCATTCGTTCATTCATACCCCCCGTCCGTCCGTCTACTTTCCAAATCAAGCACACGCACGCACGCGGGAAAAAAATAAAAATAAAAAGAGAAAAGGGCAGGCTGGCAGTCCGGCAGTCCGTGCATCCACGTACGTACGACGCTCGCATCCACGCAACCTCACACGGAGCCAGTGAGCCATCGCCGGCCCGCAAGAAGAAACGTCATACACGGCCAAAAAAAACCACCTCATTCGACAGTCTTTTTCTGCCTTTGTAGATCCTCCCTCCCTTTTGGCAGGGTAATTTTCGACACGGCCCTGGTCGCCCTCCCCTCCTCCCGTACACCGCTAATCAAGGAACGACCTTGGCCGTTCCAATCTATGACGTCTGCCTCCCCCCTTTCGGCCCCCGGGGTCCCTGGAATCCTCCCTGCGCGACATGCCTTCGTCATCGCCCAGCGCAAACCTCCCGTCGGTTCAAAAGTCGAGGGCACTCGGGGGCACTCGACTTGGGGCCAATATCCTCTAGTAACGGCGGCGATCTGTCACGAAATATTCGTCATTAGTTGTCCATTCAATGCAGACTAACAAAAGATGCAAGGCTCAACAAGTAAAAGGTGCCAACTTCCACAGACGCCACCGAGATTGATGCAGACGTCGCATCTGGAGGGCGTCATCAAAAGGAGCGTACGCATGCCACTTGGCTACCCTGCTCTCTGCGGACCCAGCCATGGTTCAGCAACTCTAGACTAAAAGGATCAAAGAGCACAGAGCCAGGGCCGGTCACGAAAAAACTCATCGACGGGAGGCGCAGGAGGTCTGCTCGAGCCAACAAGGATGATTGTCGTCGTTTGTAGCGCGGCCCCTGGTCGGCCGTCATGCCTGTAGAAGATCGCCACCGTCACGATAACGAGACGGCGCCCAGCTTCCGGCTCTCTCGGGATTGTTGCCGGGCTCGCTGGTGCTGCCCCTCTTGCGCCGCCGTTCTCGTTTCTCGTGACGGAGAGCCTTCTCCTGCTTGAAGGCCTTGCACTCGTGCGTCATTTCTTTGGCTTCCTTCATCTCCTCGACGGCGCCGTTGATCCCCAGGGCGGCGATGCCCACCGAGGCCGCGTCCTTCATCACGGCTTTGGTCCTGAGCTTCCTGGCCTCTGCCGGGCTGAGACGCCCTTCCTTGACGGCCCTCTGCCGTGCTCGCCTCTTCTCCATGCTCTGATAAACCCCGTGTGCTGCGTGGATCGTGGCGACAGTGGCAAGGCCGGTGGTAATAATCTGCTTACCTCTCATCTTTCTGGCTTTTCTCTCGTCTTCGTCAGAGTCACCCAGGTCAGACTCGGATCCGTACCGGCCCCCGCCTCGTGTGCGGGACGAATCCCGGCGGTGCGACCGCTCATACTCGTAGTCGTCGCCGCGGCGACCCCGGCCGCCTCCATATCGGCCGTCGTCGCTGTACTCGTCAGAGTATCGTCCGGGCCGCCGTGAAGACGCCCGGTCATCAAAGTCGTCTTGGTCACGGCGCCGGTGGTCATCAGCCGTAGCCGCGGATCCCGTCCCGATTCCCAGCTTGGCCAAGCTGTTGCGGGCCTTGTCGACTACGCTGCGACTGCGACCGTGGTGCCTCCTGTCGGGCGACCCGTCGCGGGAGTCATAGCTTCGGTCCCTGCTTCCAGCGCGGCCCCGGGAGCGGGAGCGGGAGCGGGATCGGTGATCCAGAGCCGCCTTTGCACCCAGGGCACCTAAACCGGCGGTGGCCAAGGCGGCGAGGCCGGTACCTCCACTTCCGCCGCCGCCTCGGGCCCCGGAGCGGGCGCGAGACCGGGACCGGCTTCGTCCGGTTGCTTTGTCTTCCTCAATGTCTCTCTTGGAGCCGTTGATGAGACGGTTGCCGACCAGACCGCCTATGACCGACTCGGCGAGAGCCATTCTGCCCTGCTTGTCTCCGTGCGCGGCGTCGACGGTGGCGGCGCCGGCAGCAGCGGTGAGGATCCGCTTCGTCTTCTCGCCCTTCCAACCGCCGGGCTCCTTTGCCACGCGAAACGCCTCGGTGGCGCCGGCCAGCAGAGACGCCATGGCAGCCTGTTGCATCTTGTTGGCTCCGGTGGCGCCGGAGCGGGAGCGGGGCGAGCCAGCGCGGGAGCGCGAGGGGCTACCGCCACGGCTTCGGTTGTCAGAGTGTCTGCCGTCGTCCTTGGCTCCGCCGGTCAGGGTCTTGACAGCGGCGCCGAGGCCTGTGGCGGCGAGGGCGTTCTCGAGGAAGTTCTTGTGGCCCTTTTTGTGCCTGTCGTCGGCGTCGTCGTCTTCCGAGTAGTACTCGGAGACTTGTCCGTCACGGCCGCGGTGGAGGATATAACTGGCCTTTTGGTCCTTGACGGCCTGCTGCTTGCTGTAGTACTGGGCGCCCTGATAGCCGGCCAGGGCGCCAAAGCCGGCCAAGGCCACGGACGAGAGGGGGTTCCGCTGAACCTCATTTCCGTCCTTGTTGGCCTCGTAGCGGTCGTAGATTTCCTTGCCGCCGGCCAGCAGGGCGGCGCCAGCGACGGCGGCAATGATCTTGTCCTGCTTGGACGTGCTCTTGCGCTTGGACCTGCGGTCCTCTTCCTCGTAGTAGAAACTCCCGCGGCGCGACTGGCGATCATGGTCGCGATGTCTGTCATGGCGAGGGTCGTGGCGATGGTCGTGGCCATCTGCGTAGTAGCGGCGTTCGTGGTCAGCAGAGCGGGCTCTGCGAATGTCCCGTCCAGAGGGCGGGGGGAAGTCGCGGCGGATTTCCTCGACGGACAAGTCGCTCTCCTCTCTGGCACGAGGAACGAGCTCTCTGGACGGCATGGGCCGGCCGTAATCGCGAGGGTCGACAAAGAGTGCTTCTCTGTCGTCCCACCGGTCGTCTCGCAGGTATCCGCGGCGGGCATTGTCCCGCTCGTAGGCGTCGTAGCCGGCCATTTGCAGCGGCGGGGTGAATGTTGGTGGTGGTGGTGGTGGTGGTGGTGGTGGTGGTTCGTGAAGGAGCACTTGCGGTCGGGCCGAAGCAGTGGTGAGGAGGGGTCAAGCGGCGTGACGGGTCATGTGTCATGTGCCCTGTGTCGTCATGGGTGAATGATGTCTGTCAGCTCGGGCGATGCTGCCGGGAAGCGACGTGCGAGTGTTGGCCGACGGGGTATTTTGTTTCAGCAGCAACGGCAACGGCAACGGCAACGGCAACGGAGGCTTTGCCTGGTGGGGGGGAAAGGGAGAATTGACAAGTCCAAGAAAAAATCCACAAACTTGAACTGTAATCTGACGTGCAAAAAAATGATGCAGAATAAAACCAAAACGGCCGCAACAGCGGATCGGCACGGAGGGTGGCGTGGAATTGAGGAGAAACAAAGGTGGGGGCTGGTAGGGACGACATAGTGCTAAGGCCGCTAAGGCGAGGGGAGGTGCCGTCATCTCGGTGGGGCTCGCCCGCTGGTCTCTGCACAGGTACAGGTACACACCGCGGATTAGTCAGCCGAGCGACACCCAAGTCGAGGGTGGCTGGGGGCTGGGGCAAAGCAGAAATCAAATCAGAGTGTTCTTCAGCGCGGCCTGGTCCTTGCCTCTGGAGCGTCTGAAACCTCAGCCACGACTCGCGAGCACCGCCTCACATGCACAGTGCAAATACTCGTCTCGAACCCGTCTCATTCGCTGCCATGCCCTCCCCGGCGGCTGACCATTCTTGCTAGTTCTGTGACTGTGGCCCGGGGTGCCTTGCCTCCCTCGACCATGGCATGATGGCCACGACGTCGTGCTTGTTTCGCACCCGACAATGCAGCTGCCCGAAATAGCAGCAGCACTCATGAACCACACCGAGCCGTACTCGGTACATGTGCGCGCCGTAGATGTCTGGTGTCACCTCGAGATGCGCAGCGCCCAGTCAAGCCCACCCCCAAGGCGCCCAGGTGACAGGTGACAGGTATATAAGAGACACTCAGCCGCCATCCGTCCACTCGCATCTCGTTTGAAAAAAAAAAAAAAAAGAAATTCGATTCTTCTCCGCCCGTCCTCCTCTCAGTCTTCACTCCAGAAAGCAAAACAACAACCCACCCGCCCCTCCATATACAACATGAGGCACTCCGTCGCCGCAGTCGCCGTCGCTGTGACCGCGCTCGCAGGCCCGGCGCTCACCCAAGCCGTCCGTCGACAAGAGTAAGTTTACCGAAAAAAAAATAAAGAATAAAAAAGAGGACCCCCCGTGAACCTCTGCCCGCCCTGCCCGTCGCCAAGTCGCTGACACACAGGCCAGCAACACCCGCCTCTTCTCCGTCCCGGCCCAGCCGACGCCCCTCGAGTCCACTCCCACCGGCCTCTTCACCATCCTCCCCTTCTCGACGGCCTCGGGCGCCAGCTCCGGCTCCGGCTCCGGCTCCGGCTCCGGCTCCGGCTCCGGCTCCGTCTCCGTCTCGGGCCCCCTGCTGTCCTCGGGAACCGCTGCCTCCACCGTCGCCCAGGTGACGCCCGGCTTGACCACCACCAGGTAGGTGACCAACCCCGTTTCCTCAACCCCCGTCCACAGTTACTTCAAGTTCAAGTGCTCGTTATTGACTCGAGCAGCGGCGCCGTCGCACCGACCGTCTCTTCGTCGGGGCCAGAGGTCACCTCTGCTCCCTCTGCTCCGCCAACAAACGCCACGCAGTCCGGCTCGCAGTCTGCCAACAACAGCACGAGGACTGCCTTGAGCACCGGCACGCGCAGCGCCACGTCTAATCCTGCCGCCGCCCCTACCGCCTTGCCAGGTAGCCTCGTGGCCGGTGTCGTTGCTCTCGCTGGAATGGCCCTGGTTATCTGATCCCGAGTCGTGGCCCGAGGCAGCTACCTGCGGGCACAACCACAAAGCAACAACAACATGGAACAAAGCACATGTATAATATATACCAACGAGACTGCACCCCGTTTTCATCTTTGCCCTTGGCTGGCCTCCAGGGGTTCCGAGGCGCGCGTCACCGCCTTCAGAAACTAAATGCCTTGTTTTTCCATTGTTTTGATCCTATCGTACAATACAACCCCACGCTGTCTGGCGCCGAATGTGAATTGTGCAAAAATATGTATATTAAAAAAAAAAAAAACCGTGAAAAGAGTCGCTCTCGAGGGGAAAAAGCTGCATCCGCGTCAACCTTTCCCTCTATCCCCTCCCCCGTCTCCAAAACAAGAAACTCGAGGAAAAACAACAAAAGAGATCCCTCTTGTCCTCTGAAAAAACAACACCATTTCCCGACCCACCCACTCTCCGTGACGAACACAGCAACGGCCGAATGTAGACCAGTAAACAATAAATATGCATCAAATAAACAGGCAATGGATTGACTTGGTTGTGTGAGGCAGTTCGTCCACCATCATGTGTCAAGGAAAAGAGACCAAAATGAATTCCATGTGCCATTTTTGCATGCCGCTTTTGATGTTTTTGTGCTATTCCACTTGCTCTTTTCTGTATACACTTTTGTAATGCGTTTTTATTGTGCCCGCGCAAACGCTCATTGGCCCTTGTGCAAGTCCGGGCTGACTGGCACAGAATCGCTTGTCCCAGGGCCCATATTCCAGTCAAGACGGGCCTGTGAATCCTGTCTCCTTGTCCGAACATTGGGTGGGGGTCTTGCATCAAGGAACGACGCATGGACGCCATGCTCGGAGATTGACTGCAGCACGTCTCTACCGAAACCAATCGAGGTAAAGGGATATCAGACATCTGTGTGTCCCAGCCAAAAGTGAACGTCCAAACCAAAATCTCAGTTGAGGTCAACAAGTCGAACGGATGTGGCATGATAAAGGAGGACCTCCTTGACCAACACCGATAAACCAAGGTGCTCGCAGTTCCTGACCAAGTCCTCGTAAAAATTGAAAGCCGAAAGAGCGCATCACCGCTCTCGATCAATACGGGCCACAGAAAGCAAAAAGCGGCCACATTTTCTTGTCCTCGCCCATGTTCCCATGCAAAAAGCCCTCAAGAACCGGAAAAAAAGGAATGGCGACCTCAAAACTTGACACTTGCGCCGAATCGACGCCATACCCTCCCAGAAAACCACCGGAATGACAACACCACCAGACTCGTATCGGTTCCTTGTTCATCTTAGGTTCTAGCTTTCGCCATACCAAGGCACGCCGAGACGCCTAGTATCGAACCCTAGCTGGGATGCCGAGGCTGTGACGAACCCTCCATATGTGAACGAACCAAAACAATAAAAACAAAGGGAAAAGAAAAAGTCTCATATCTGATGTGTGCTTAGGCTGGGAGACGAAACCAGCACCGGTGCCAAAATATATACTAGAAGAGTGTTGGTGAAGCTGACCGCCGTCGGCCGCTCAGCTTGTGCTGGAGACTCCCTCGGCGGCTTTTCGCTGAACCTCTCGTCTGGCCTTGTCAGAAAACGATGGTTCGAGAGCATTTCCTGACCGGAAGTGTGCTCCTGCCACGCTCAAAAGAGCCCCTGTCCCGTTCCTTTCCCCGCAACACCGCTATCCTGCTCTTCGGATTGTCGTTCGACTTTGACTGCATTACTCGGCATGGATTCCATTAGTCAGACCGCTGGCTGCTTCCGGGGCGTGGCCCAGGGTATCAGAGGTTCGCATTGCCAACCCTGAAGGAGAAAAGTCTGGAACATTGGCTGACAACTGGGTGCTGGTACCATGGGAGTGGCCGTTGCCGTTGGCAAGTCCATTGACAGACTGACCAGAAGGTGCGCCTTCTGCAAATTGTTGGAATGTAGCATCACCCTGCGCGGGGAAGCCCATCGAGGGAGCCATTCCGAAAGTCATGGGCATAGCACCGTTATATTGCGGGATGTAGGTGTACGGGCGGTTCTTGAAGGTTACCTGTGCCGGGCCTGGGTTGCGGGCGAACTCGTCACGGTCTTCCAACGGCAGGATGAAGTTCTGCCAGCCGTGACGACGGCGCAGGCGCTCGATATCATCATCGCCAACCACAAAGTCGAGGTCCGAAGATGTTTCGCATACGGCTCGAATTAATGCCACATCCGAGGTAAGTTCCCGAATACGCTTGAAGGCGGCAATGAAAGGCAGATTAACAAAGCCTTGCGAGTCCATGCGCTTTCGCAAATACATGTCCTTGCACAAGTTTTCAATCGAAAAATAGTACTCGATCTGATTCTTCAGCACAGCCATCATCATGCTGTCCCACATGGGAGGCTGTTGATACGGCAAGGCGGACAGCGGCATGGGATACTCATAAGCGCCAAATTGAGTCTGAATGGGAGTGATACGGGGAGTACCGTTGGGAAGAGACATGCGGTGGAAGTTATTACCAGCCCCATTGCGGCCTCTTCCACCTCGCTGAGGAGGAGGCATGTAGCCTTGGCCATGGGGACCCTGTCGTAGTGGAGGGCTGTAAGGACCCTGGGGTCTTCCGGGCACTGATCCGTTGTTCGAAAAGTTGTTGGCACCGGTGTGTTGGTGTTGCGAGTGAGAATTGACGGCGTGATGGGCACCCCGACCGCGATAGCCTCCCCGCCCTCTTTCAGCTCTGCCTTCAGAGCGGTTGTTACTAGTGTTCTGCTGGTCAAGAAGTCAGTTGACAGAGCCTTGCAGCGTGTCGGTCTGGGGCGCGATGTGAAATCGTATCCGAGGTAAACCATGGTCAAACTTACAGATGACAGTGTTGCGGTGCCGTCCTTTGCCTTGTCGTTACCTGATTGGGCAGTCGTCTTCTTCTGCTCCTTAGCAGCAGTGCCGACGTCTACTGAAGGTCGCTTGGGGGCCGGAGGAACCAGTGCACTCTTGGTGGTACCGGCAGTATTGTCCTTGGCCCGGTCCTTGGACTCGGCGGGCTTGCTCGGAGCGGCATAGGCAGAGGCCTTGTCGCCGGAATGGGCACCATTAGGGGCAGTTCGGCCATTGTTGGCGCTGCGGGCACCGCCACGAGGCTTGGAGCCGCGCATCTGCGGCAGCTGGGTCTCGAAGTTGACCGTCGGTACGTAATCATAAGCAACCCACTTTTCCTTGTTTCGCTTGGTATGGGATGGATCTTCTTGAGGTTCCTTTTCTTGTAGAGGAACAGGCTTGGCGGCAGCAGGCCTCCTCTGCTCCTCCTTGATCGCAGTCTCGGGCGTAGGCCAGGAAGCAGCATCTTCCACAGGCGGAGGCAGCTCAGTCTTGGTGGTTTCGGCTAACCGGGACCCCCGGCTACCATTTCGGTCGGAACGAGTAGCGTCGCCATTCTTACGATTTGACTTGGCGCCATTGACAGGTGAATTTTCTTTTGCGGTATTTGTAGAAACGGGGTCCCTGGCGGGCCTTTTTACCTCGCCATTATGGCTAGAAGCACCATTGAGCGTGGCCTCGGAGGGGGTTGGCTTGGCTTTGGAGTGCTGCTCCTTTCGCTGGACCCAGATATTGACCGAAGGAATGGGTGCCTCAGATAACTCGACCTTTTCAGTCTGCGGTGCCGCCTCTTTATCCTTGTCGGCTGCTGATAGCTGATCATTCTCTTGTTTATCTGGGGAGGCCTTGGACTTCTTAGCCTTGCGAGGTTTCCTTGACTCGTGCTCGTCGACAGACCCTGTAGCTGTGCTCGAGGATCTCGTGCCCTTGTCTGTCCTCCTCCAGGGCCGGTCCAGTCTCCCGGAATCGTCATCTCGTCTCAACTCAGAGCGTCGGTCGTTAGTCGTCTCGGAGCGCAGATCGCTCTCGGAACCAATATTACTGTCAACATCTTGCTTCTCAGCCGCCACGAGGGGGCGGGAAACGCCCGAAGGCTCGGCAGAGTCATCGGACGTAGTGGGAGGCGCAGTACTTTGAGGTTGGGACGCAACGTTTGGTAAAGCCGTAGAGCCGGACGCGCTCTGTCCCTTCGCCGCTTGCGCGTAAGAAAATGTCGAGGAAGCCGCCATCTCGCTGAACTTGGATTCGGCTACGGCAAAAAATCAAAATCAATGCTGACTTCAGAAAGCCCGGTAACAACACGAGGAAAAAGAAATCTCGTGTTGCCTCTGGCGAAGTGCCGTGGCCACGCTCCCCAGCCGGGGTGAAGCAAGAACGTCTGCTGCAAAAGCGGGCAGAGAAGTCGTCAGAGACTCCACGAGACTCTGTGCAGTGATGGAAGAAGCAGCCGCCGATCCGCAGGCTATGCAATCTATGTCCCTGTCGTTTCGAAGGACTCGGTCGAGGATGAAGGTCGCCAATTGTCCGTCTTATGAACAACCGGTTGAGGTTGGGTCCGTAGTGAACGCCTTTATCAGGTGGTCTCCCCCGGCCTTTTTTTTTTCAAAATTCTTTTGCTTTGATTTCCGAGCGGCAAGAACTCCTGTAGCCCGAGGTCCGACGACGAGGCTGCCGTACGAGAGGATCAAGCGAAAGGCAATAAAATTCGATCGGGGTGTCGCCCGCCCGCGGATGCCAGATTGGACTCCTGTTTCGACCGGAGTCGTCGATCAAACTGACAGAGGCACAGACAAAGGTGACCAAGTAAACCGAAGCGGGAAATTTCGCCTTAGTCTGACTGGAACTGATGGCAGTGCAGGCAATGGGCAAAGCCGTCAGCGCTAGAGTAAGGAGAATGACGGGGAAAATGGCCAAGTGGCAACCCTGAAGGAAGGACGCAGATATTGCAGCACCGGACTCGGCTTCAGAGGAGCAGGTCGAGTTGCAGGCGAGGGCCAGGGAGAAAGAGAACAGCGACTGAGAAAAAAAAAGGCTCCTTTGTCAGTAACGCTATTCGACTAGTAATTAGGGCGTAGTAGTAGCTTGTGCGAGGAGAAACAAAGAGCCCAAGCCCGTGCGGTTGCTCGACGTAGTCGAAGGCGCCAGCCGTCGTGGTGGCCTATGGGCAATAACGGTAGAGAAGAAGGGGGGGGGGGGGGGGGAAAAAAGGCACACGACGAAACGACGATCAGATCAGGCAGGACCAGTGCGAGAGAAAAAGTAGCAGGGAAGGGTCCATGCTCTCTCATGTCTGGTGCAAACCAAGGGCAGCCACCCTCGGGGGGGAAAAGATTGAAAACCGAATGAAGAACAAAACTAACCTTGTCAGTCGGAATCCAGACTCTCAGGGCTCAGAAAGCGACCACAGTCAGCCAGCTGCAGCGTCAAAGCCGGATAGAATTGGCCGTGCGAGGTGAATGTTTGTGGTATGTTGGAATGGGATGGGAGACACACAAGAGGTTTCTGGCTCGCACACAAGCAGACCAGGTGGACGTGAGCGAGGAAGAGAACCGGGGCAGCGGGCAGGGCAAAGGGGAGCCGGAGGTTATTTTTTGCGTGCGCTCAAGGTCAAGTGCTGAAGTGTGCGCAAAGAAACCGACCCGTCGACAATAATAAATTTTTTTTTTTGGCCTGGCCGTCGGCCCAAAGGTACAGTACAGTCAGTACACACGCACACGCACACGCACACGCCGCGCACATAGTTTGACGAGGTCCACCAGCGCCAGTTCCAAGTGGTCCCAAGGCGACGACGGACTAATAAAAATCAAACATTGGAAGTCGCACGGAAAAGGATGCTGGATGCTGCGCGGGGGCCAACATTCAGCGTCTGAATAATAGCCGTTGCATATGTCTGGAACGCCGTACTCGTGCATAAAGTACCTAATAACCACACACTCGGTGATATCACCGCGTCGTTTTGCAATCTGGCCCGTTTGCTTGCTCTCCACGCCTGCTCGCCCGCAGGGAGGGCACCACGAGCGCAGCTCACGACTCACGAGGCAACTATTTAAGTACTCAAGTATCCGTACTTGGTAACTAGTAAGACATGCGCCCCCTCCTCTTCCAACTTGCCGTGCCACCTTTTGTGCAACCGAAGGCCTGGCTGCGGCTGCGGCTTCCGAGGGATCAAGTCTAGGTCTAGCGCCGCGTTCTGTTTCTGCGTTCTGCGTTTTGCGTTCTGCAGGTGTTCTGCGTTCTCGGTCCTCTGTGCTCCATAATGCAGTCGTCTAGCCTGCCTACTTCTTAGTAAGTACCTAGGTTCCCAGGTACGTAGAAACTCAGAGATACCTTTTTGGTTGGGTACGTGCTCCGTGCCTGCTCTCCCCAAAGTTCTCTCACATGAGAAAGGGGGGATGGGGCCAATGGGGACGAGCCCTGAGTGGTCACACATTGTTATGACTGTCTGTACGGAGTGGTAATGGCATTTTTTTTTAGTTATTTTTTTCTTCTTCCTCTTGGGCAGAGAGGCCACGGTTTTTCTACATTTGGCCATGTGCAGGCCTGTCGACAACAGGTTACAGGACGCACTCAAGACAAGATGCATCGAGTTGAGTTCCTTAGGACGCAGTGGGCAACCACGTAATATATTGGCTGACTCCTCGGTGGACTTTGACTCCGCGCCGCCGCCATCCACTGGAGCACAGTCATGCTTAAAGTTTCCATACTACGTAGTGCTCCGGATGTCTCTGCAGTCATGGATATATCATATTTCGCACAGGCAGCCAGTATTCGCAAGCCTGTCAAGCGACTCGAGCCATCCGCGGCTGCCCGGCGTGGAACTCCAACACCAGCGAGCGGTTATACCTGGCTGAAGCCAGCTGACCCGACTTGTGAGGTTCGATATCGGTCCCTCGCTGCGACCAAGCTGATGGACGTGCAACGAGATCAGTCGGCATGCTGCAGACAGACATGTCGAGTCATTTTGTTTTTTTTCCCTCCGCCGTGGGGTGGAGACGAGAGCGTTCGGGTCAGCACGGCGAGGTGGAAAAGGCGGCCATGCGACCACAACTTGAAAGCTCTCCTGGTGCAGCATGCATCATTCATGTATGCACGTAACGTTCTTACGTACTTACGTACGGACTCGAGTACGCAAGTGCGTACGGAGTAACTACATGGGCTCGCAATGACCACGTACAGTGTGTGCCTGTGTGCCCTGTGCCCTGTGCCCTGTGGTACTCGTCACGGGCTCGAGAGAATTACCGAATTACCAAGGACAAGCGAGTGCTTCTTCTCCCGGCTGCCCGCCAAACAGCCCTCCCTCTGCCGAGTTCAACATGTATCATGTATGCATGCGATGCGCTAGATAGCATTGAGCAAGACATGGCAATGCTGCATGACCTGCTCCCAAAGACAAACCAGACATGTTTTATTTCTCCCTCGTCTCTCTCGGCCTGTTCTCCGTGGCTGTGGTCCCGGTCCCCTCATCAATCAATCAATCAACTATCAGTCCCGTCCCGTCCGATCCCATCCCTCCAGCAAATACCGACCGAGTACTCCGTGCGGATGTTTTGAATGGAATCACCGCTACCTTCCTTGGCTTCGCCTGCGCGTCTCCGCACAATGGCGCCGCAGTCTGGAGACCTTGCGCCCTGTAAACATGTCGTCGGCTGTCCAGACGTCCGTCCAGATGTCTCATGCCTCCCGCGGCTGACGGTGCATGGCTGCGTCAATCGTCAATCGTCAATCGTCAACATGCAAACTGTCCATGGCACTTGAGGTGACCCTGAGGGTTACTGCGGCACATGCCTCGGAACTAGCGAATACCGTTTCTGCCCTCCTTGCCCGTCAAAATCCCCAAGTATCCCGTACATCCTCCCTGTTTTCTCCCCGGCTGCCCGACTGACTGCTTACTTGGATACTTTAAACGAGCCTGGCGGCTTTAGCCTGGGATTGGGGCGCAGTCGTCGTCTCTTCGCCGTACTTATTACGTGTTCGACCAACCATTCATTCTGCAGCGCCATCGACCATCGATCCTTCCACCCTGCGGGCCTATTTGATGTCACGTGCTGGCAGTCGTACGTTTCGGCCGTGTTTCAAGCTGCGGATGAGTCAACAGGCCGGGTCCGTGGGCAGGCAGTAACTAACTACGTACGGAGTGAATCGAAATCGCGGCAGCCATGTGACTCACCAGCCAAGACGGCGCTCTCTGTTCAGCTCGAAGTCCTCGGGTGATAGACCACTTCTCAAGTAAGCCTATATTACTATCGTCCGTAGACCCAGATACGATTTCATTTCCAGGCAACGTAGCTTGCCTGTATTGACTCTTAAGTGAATTAGCGTGCGGCTATATACGCTCTACCTCTAACGTGCATCCGAAGAGTATCCGACAAGGCGCTGTGGCCCATTACACTGCAATATTATATACTAGATGGATTGTATTATATTATGTTGTATCGTAATTCTTACAAGTCACCTTAGACACTACAGCAGTAGTAACTGCATCTCAAAGATGTATCAAAGCATGGGTTATTGTCATGCACGCGTTGTGGGTTGATACGCGCTTTTCGTCAGTGTCCTGGTGGCCCCATATTGGACAATCCCCCGCCCCCGTCCGCCCCACCCCACTTCCCCCAGCTCCCTTGCTTACGTACTCCGTATATTTTCTTGAAGCCGAAACTAAACAGTGCTTCTACTCCGATGCCCGACTTCGCCGCCTCACCCTCAGGGGACTTGACAGATGAAGAAATCGATGATGCTCCTCAAAGCTCAGAATGCCGTGCGGCGTCAAGAGCCCCCAAAAGTGTCTACTCGATACCAACAGCAGTTTGAATTTTTTTCACATTGAAAGTCTTGCCGATCGGCCGGACCCACTTGACGAGCTTCTTTCTGCCATCAACAACATCGTGGGCGGGCCAGGAGTTGTCTCGAGCAACGCCAGGGACTCTCTCGTAGCAGCAGCTCAAGCAAAACCAACCTACTACTGGCCTCCTGGAATTTCAGACGTAAACATCAACTATGTCACAGAAGAATCTGAAATCGCAAAGGACATGCCTCATCCGGACAAAAGTGTTGCGCGTACATTGTACGAAGCTACATGTTGATCGATGAATTCTACAAGGCTACATACAAGTCTATTAATGATGTTGTGGCGTGTGACGGCGTGTTCAATGCAGAGGTGAATCACCATGTCTTGCCGTTGGCAGTTGGCTTTGAATGCTACAGCCCGATAAGCAGCCAACTGACGACGTGT